CCAGGCCTGCAGGAGGGGCTGCTCAAGCCACCATTCTAGAACTCTAAGACAAACTATGGCTGCTGCTCCCCAAACGACCGTCGAGGCCCCCACACTGCCGCAGCACTCACAGGTGTCATGATGCTGAAACAGTTCACGGCACACAGCACTGCCTGACGCGTCACACCCACGTCCATGTTGCTTTTTTAAAGCAGCTAGTGAGCCATGAGGCCGGCGAAGCTCGCTGTTGGGTGCTCGTGGCATTAAAGATGGAACTGAGGGCCCTTCCTTGGGCCAAGGAGCTCTGTGAAAAAAACCGAGACACCAAGAGAGCCGCGAAGTGAGAAAAAGGGGCAACTTCTGCCCCGGAGGATGAGGCCAGACTGATCCTGCTGAGGAGGCTGAGGCCCACCAGCAACTGGCCCCTGTGCGCAGGCCAGAGCCCCCATCCCGACTTCAGAGCCAAGCACGGGGCGAGGGCATGCCTGCGGCTCCTGGCTGGAGAGGAGCGCAGTCAGGACCCCCCAGGGCTCTGACCGCCCCCCCCAGTCCCTGCACCAAGTAGTAACCCCCACATTTCTGCACCCCTGAGGGGCCTGAGGAATTTTTCAAACATGTTTTCTTTTACTTGACCTAGGTTTTTACACGCCTTTTTAAAAAATGCTGGAGCAATTTTCTCCCCACCCGACGCCACCTCCGTGACCCAGCAACATGACTTTGTTTGGACAGATGTTTGCTCCCAGGGTCAGGAGGATTCTGGCCCAAGTGGAAGCCGGGGCGCAGCGCCTCAGGGAGCCCGCCCTCCCAGCCAGCCGTGCGGCCGTTCCCGCTCCGCGGGGCCTGTGCTCTGTGCGTTTTCAAAGGAAGGGCAGGGCAGGCCCGGGATGGGTGGAAAGAGCTTCATGCACAGGAACTGTGGGAGTGGGGGGGAAATAAACAAGGGAAAACACACCAGGGCAACCGAGGTGAAGTGGACAAAGGAGAGGGCAGCAGGGCCGCCCGCAGCCAAGGGCCAACAGAGGGAGGAGACAGGAGCGGCGCCCTGGCAGAGGCCTGCCCGCCACCTCTCCAGGAAGCCAGCCAGAGCAGATGCAAGGCCCGAGGCACTTCCCGAAGCTTTGTCTAGATCTGGTCCAGGGTGAAGGCACCAACCCAGAGGCCGTCTCTGCCACCCCGGGCCGCCTGAGCCATCGTGGCTTATACCCCCCGACGTGGACTTTGCACCCCAGAGTGCCAGGAGGAGGGTGTCCTGCAGCTCCACGCTCTAAGCTCATACCTCCCAGCGTCAGCAGCAAACCAGGCTGGGGAAGACCCAACTCTGCTTACACACAATGCCATGCCCTTTCCCAGGGAGCCCTGTGGGGGTTCAGTGCAAGCCCCCACCATTTCTTTTAGGACCCTTGTCAAATGACTCCTTAAAACCTGCCTGAGAAAGCTGGAAACAGGAATACACGACCCCTCGAGGCAGCGCGACAAACTCTGGGGCAGAGATGACAGAAAGCGCTTCATGATGAGAAAGCAAACGTCTTTCAGTTCCAGGCCTTCCAACCCAGCTGTCTCCCCACCCCTCAAACCGCACACAGAACTGTCTAGTGGGTCATTCTTTCCCCTCCATGCCTGCTCTCCTCAGAGAGCATCAGCCCTAGGTGGCAGGCAGCCTGGGAAGCCGGCAGAGGGCACTGGCAATGAAGGTGATGCCACCGCGCTCTGAGACAGATGTGCCCGAGCCCGCGAGGCCGAGCACCCTGCCGCCGACGCCTCGCGAGACGAACAAGGCAGCTTCCTCTGGGCTCCAGATGTGCAGTTTCCACTTCTCCTGCCACGCTGGCCCCTCCCCTCGCTCTGGCCACTGCTGCCTTCGAGGCAGCTCCAAGGCCCGCGAGGGCCCAGCTCAGTGACACCTGCAGCTCAGTGACACCTGTTGCTCAGTGAAGTCAGCAGACGACAGGTCCCTATGACCGACGCCAGGGCTGCTGGGGAAGGGCTGTGGTTCTGAAAGCTGGCAGGCCCGCGAGTCCGCAGGGGTTTATGGGGTGAACGGCGACCACTGCGGAGGGCTCTGCAGGGCTGGCCTGTGCACACAACTTAGGCAGAAGCGTTGCAGGAAGGGCTGAGAATACTGCACGGCTTGCACAGTAGTGGTGGGCCCAGACCAACAGGCAGGATGGCTCCCTTGGGTAAAAAAAAAAAGTCTGATTCTGGGGTGTGACTTCTCTCAGCAGGCTGTGTGATGACAGCAGGCAGGCATGACATGCTGGCCCATGCATGACGGGACCCAAGTGGCAGGCCCCTCGCTGCTTTCTTCCCGGAACTCTGCTTTCACTTCAAAGAAGGCCTGACACGCCAGGCTACCGAGATGCGCGGACAGGCAGACACTTTCTCAAAAACGAAGATGTCACCTCAAGGAAAGTAGCAGTATGTAGAGGCAACGGTGAACTTCAAGCTCTCGGGCAAAACTACCCCCTTGGAAAATGAGTATGCCTCACTGAGACGCTTGGCAACTCAGCCAGTCACGCCACTGACATTCGCTGGTGGTGGAGTACAGAGCACAACATGTCAACAGTTTGGAGCTCTGCGCAACTCAAAAGCCAGCATCTCCCAAGCGACTAGTGTCTGACGACAGACAAGCACCTCTGGGGAGGAAGCTGTCCAGAGTGCAGGAGGCCTGTGTGTTTCCACACAGGCTCTGGGACCAGGTCTTGCACTCCATGCCACAGCTAACTACACCCTCGCAAAGCACTGCTAAGTCCTGATGAAGTTCCAGAGAATATCCTCAAGTACCTGAAGGACTCCAAAAATACAGCGTCTCCTCCCCCGTGAAGCCAAAGTTGCTGCTAACATTTCAAGTGAGACAGCAGGCCAAATGCAGAAGCCATTGTGAGGCCGGCTGTGTGGGAGGCTGGACAGGAGACGTGGAGGGGACGGGTAAAAAGCCTGACAGGGACTCACAGCACTTTTCTCGGTTTTAGATACAGTAAATTTTCATAAAAAGGTGATTTGTGTTAAATGTGATGAGTTTACTTTTTTAAATATTTAGTATTTTTCTCAGTTTTAACTTCTAACACAGTAACTGTCACTAGGTCAAATCAATAGGAAGAGAAGCTCTTCGGGAGCCCCAAGATTCAATTGTATAAAGAAACCAACATGCTCTGAGCAGCTGCCTTGCAGGGACAAAGCAGAGGGCCAGCGCGGGAGGAGCGCCCCCTGGTGGAGGAGGCAGCCGTGGCATCGCGGGCTCCCAAGGTAAACGCAGGCCTGCTCAGGGCCCTGGGCTCTGCGGGACGGGCCTGAGGAGACAAAGATACTGCCAAGTGTCAACTGAAATAGAACTCACATGTGCAGCCGAGCTGCAGGGCAGCAAGGGGCTGAGGTGAAACCCAGGGCAGGGCTGAGCGAGGAGCACAGAGCGCTCCTGCAGGGACCGGTGCTGGTGCGTGGAGATGCCACAAGGATCAGGGGCTTTCTGTCCTCAAGGGCTGGCTGCTAACCCGGGGAATGGAGGACATCAGAATGCCTGAGCTCTGCCTGGCCCCTCTACAGCCACCCTCCAGGAGTTACAGGAGGCTTGGCTGGGCTTTATATTCTGATGGTCGAGGGGGCCCCTGGGGAACTGATGTTTTCTCTGAAAATTCCTCACTCCACAAGCAAACTTGCAACCTGCATGGCTGAAGGAGGTGCAGTCAGACACACCAGCCTCGGCAGGACAAACAAGCTCTTGCAACCTCCACGTGGGACCGCAAAGGGAGGCTGAGCGCAGGCAACATTAGCCAACTTCCAGATTCTCTGCAGTTTGGGGGGTTGGGGCCTGTTTTTCCTCTTCCTTAAAGACACACCACCCCCAGGGGACTTGCTGTTTGGACAACTGTATTCCAGAGGGTGACAGGTAAGTTCAAACACCTCCCCCCCAACTTCCCCGGGGAGGCTCCTTCAGACAAAGGCCTGTAACCAGACAGAAGCTGGCCTCAGCCCCTGGCAGCCCATGGGGCTTACTTTATGCCCCAGGGACCAGACAGACAAACACTGCTGCTGTAGACCCTTTCCCTAGCTTGCCTGACCCAGGCCAGAGGTGCGCCTCCTGCTGGCAAGGCCTCGACAGGTTCTTAAGCTCCAGACCATGCTCGGCACAAAAGGAATTACACTCACCATTCCCAGAGTTCAACCTTTTTCCTTCTACTGCATGCCGGCACAAAAAATCTCTTTCTTGGAGAAAGCTGTTATGTCAGCATCACCCATGGCCTCCCAGGATCACCCGGGGCCGCACACGGGTTATGCAGCCATAGAGTCTACCGGGTTCCCTCAGAAGAGCTCATGCTATTCCTGGCTGCTGGTGCTGCATTTAACTGGGCATCATTCTCCTAAGTCCACTAGCGTCACCCTAGTTCCTGAGGGTTCTGGCTGGTGTCAAAGCAGTTTTGAATCACGGAACTTGGCCCCTCCTCTCTGGGCCCAGCATGATGTGGTCAACCTTCCCCTCTGGACTGTGCCCCCACGGAGCACTTCCTTCCCGGCACATGTGGCAGGTGTCTGTCCGGCACAGCAGGCCCACCCCAGGCATCTGAACCTCCACCCCAAAGATATGGGACTGGACACACTAACTACTCTCACTGCACCAGGGATGGAAATAGAAAAAACGACCATGTTGTTTTAAAGAAGACCACAGACTGGGTGCAGCACCCCACAGCTGGGTTGAAGCCCCACTTTGTCTCACATAGGGCCCTTCCAGATGACTAAGGAGACCCTCAGAGCACAAGGCAGGCTTTCGAGCTAGAAACACCCCCACATCTCACCCGCCACAAGTGCAGTGCCCCTGGATGCACAGCAGGCCGCCTGGCTGCCACGCAGCCCTGGCCTTCCCCATTCTGGGGTGCCTCAGAGGCTCTCTGGAGCGGGTTTCATCCCAGAAAATGGACACGCACTGCCCAGTGTATCCGGCGGCAGAACTCAACAGACATGCAGACTGAGCTGCCGTGTTACGACACATAGCTCTCATCCAGGCCCCCCACCGACACCAATCGCCACACCTTCTGGTCATCTGCCTCAGGTTTTTCGGCCTCCGAATCATCGTCTTCCTACAAGACAAAACACATAGGGTGTTAAGTTTAAAGGAGTGGCCAGGGGGTTCACACATGTGTAACTAGAGGTGAGAGCAAATTTACTGGGCCTGGACCACCCAGCGAGAACCCCTTCCCCACCATCTAGAACGAGAGAAAGAGGAGGGAAAGGAGTAAATCACAATAAAGACAAAAGAATTGTCCTTTCTAACCTTTTTAGTAAATTGAAAGATTTGAATGAATCTCAACCGAGATTAAAACTAATGGGATTACAGCTATAAATGATACTGATGGACCACTCGCTGTTATAAAAGGAATTAGCAAAACTGGGGAAAGTGACCTAAAACATCCATTGACACCTGGGATTACAAAAAAAAAAAAGCTCTCCCTAGCAAAATGGGTTAAAGCACAACACTGCAGACACTGCAGCACGAGTTCGATCCCCAGCCAGGGGAGTGACCCACAGGGCGCAGCAGACCTCTCCTGACCTGCCCACTGCTCCCCGCTCAGCCTATTCTGCTCCCCACTCTGTGTCTGGTGAGTCCCTTACCGACTGTTTGCTGTTCTCATCCTCTTCTTCATAACCATCTTCATCACCCCCAAGGCGAGAAAAGTCATCTTCTCCATAGGCTTCAGACACCAATCCACCTTTCTCCTCTGAAACAGAGTTAAAAAGGAAAAAGAATGAGAGGGAAAGGCAAGAAAACTTTTCAGCTATTTGCATGGCCTGAATCTCTGCAAATGAAAGGGGAAACTAAATCTCATGTAAGTGGCCAGGGACCTAGCTTCTGCCTGGGGAAGGCCACAATTTAGTGGATGCCGTCACTAAATAGGAAATACAACCAAGTATAAAATTCTCTTTCTAATGCTTCCATTTGAGTGATGGCAACCAAAGCCATCCTTTCTTAAAACTATTACAGCACGTATGTCTGAATACCTTTCTATGCACACATCACCACCAGTATCATAGGGCATGGCAAACTTGTCTTCTCCTGCAAGACAATTGCCTTCCTCGTTTGGGGGTTCTCCAGGAATAGGACCTTGAGCAGGAGCTCCCTCTGAAGGATTTCCAATCACATAGAGAAATTAAATCCTTCTGTAAGTTTAAATAAGTCATCACTTGGTGGAGTTCCCCCCCCCCAACCTCCAGATTGGAAAAGAACATGTATAACAGCAATTAACCTAATCAACCCCTTTCATTTCCAGATAGGGAACTGAGGCCCAGATGTTAGGTAATCTGATGTCTTGCCATAGTCCTGAAGAGATCTGTTCCCACTTTCTGACACTGTGATTCTCAATGTAAGACAACACTATCACTGATGAGCTGAAACAACTAAAAAAGTAATGGAACCACGGAGGAGCCTTAAAAAGCTCTCAAACAGGGCCCTCCTTGGTGGTGCAGTGGACTGGAGCACCGCACTGCGAAGTTATGCTAAGCCAAGCAGCCGCCGCTTCAACGCGAGTTCAATCCTGGCCAGGGCGCGGCAGAGCACAGGGGATCTGCCTGTTCTACTCCTCCCCACTGTCTCTGGGGAATCCTCTCACTGCCTCTGCACCTCTGGCCTATACCCCAGTTCTGTATGCATAAATAAATAAAAAATAAGTCTTTAAAAGAAGCAAAAAAGCTCGCAAACGCCTATATCCTACTCCAGATACACAGACTCTCTGGCTGTGGAGACGAGCTAATTTTACTCTTTAAAGGGCACAATTCTGATTAAAAGGTACACACTGAACAAGATGATGACCTTGATCACGGTCCACGCACATTTTACTCATCGTTCCTCCACACCTCCCATCAAGTGAGGCCGGAGGGGGCAGGCAGAGGTTCAGGAAGTATCCTGCATCCATCGGTCTGCGCACAACGGAGACTTCTAGCGAGTCCGCAGAACACACGGAACGACGGGCGGGCCTGTCCGCTCTTCCTACTGAGCGCCTGTGCCACCCAGGGCCCGGACCGCGGCTCGGGGCTCGGGGCCCCGACTCCTGGGGCACAATGACCGTCTGTCCCTCGTGCCTCGCCCGGGAAGCAGCATTCACAGCAGACACCCGACTTTCCCATTCCAGCTCCCCACTCAGGCCTCACCAGCCGCGCTACCCGCCGCTTCGACTCCCGCCTCGCCGTCGGACTCGGGCTCTGAATCTTCCGCGTAAACTGCCAGAGACGACAAGACATTCTTCTTCCCCGCCATCTTCCCCCCACAGCCCCGGCGTGGCTCACTTCTATGACTCCCCAAAGCCGACTTCCGCGCCGGGAGGCGACTTGTTCCGGACCCAGGAGACGCCGCGCGCGTTCCGGACAAATGAACCAATCAAACGGGTCGTTTCTGTACTTGATCCCGCCCCCCGCACAAACACTCGCCAACGTCATCACTGTGCGACGGACAAGGCGGTGTGGCTACTGCCTGCCAGTGAATTGCAACTCTTTGATTTCTCAGAGTTGGGAGAGGCATATGGGGGTCTTCGAGTAGCTCCGGAGCCCGCGGGCACCAGCGGCCCGACCAGATCCCTTCGCGCTGGGCGGCTCACGGCCAGCTCTGATATCTTGGAGTGAAGAGAGGGAGGCTTCAGCTGGGAAGGGAGAAAGCAACCTGGGATTCGGAGGAGGGGAAGGAAGAGTCTCCGGGATGGGGGGAGAGAGAGGATCGAGGTCCTGGGGGGAGGCGCGAGGAATGGTGGTCAAGGGCGTGTTTATAGAAGGAGCAAAAGGGGAATTTTAGAGCAAAAATTCCACCTTCTCCAATATGTTTCTCTCCTGTGATCTGATGTCTTGCTCTGTGCGTTACGGTGCCTTGCGACAGTTTTCACTGTTTTTCTTTTCACTGAGCCTAAAGTGGAAATGGTCATTTACCCAGGAATGTATTGCTTGAGGCAGTTCACCTGAAGCTGTATTGCTTTTTTAAAAATGTTTGAACATAGTGAAACAGGACAGAGAGCTCTTGCAGCAACCACCTGATCATCGCTTTTGCCCTTGACCTTTGGCCACTGTCTGTCGCTAAGATGAGCACCCGCCTTTCCTCTCCTGTCGACGCTGAGCGTCGAGTCCAGTCCACGTTGAAGAAGGTCTTTGGGTTTGACTCTTTTAAGACGCCTTTGCAGGAGAGTGCGACCATGGCGGTGGTGAAAGGTAACGTTGCTGACTCCCCGCCTTCACGTTCGCCCTGGCTGTACCCTAGCAGTGCTCGGCCTCCTCTGGCCCCGCCTCCCCACCCTTGGTCCACCGCTGGTTTCGGAAGTCTCTCTCGTAGACTTGTCACCCACTGCTTGCAGTTCTGCCGGCAGGGCACCCAGCGTTCTGGGTGTAAGATTGCCTTATAAACTGTTGCAGATTCTCATTCTTGTTCCTTTGTGTGTAGGGAGAGGTGGGAAGAGACTAACACAATCATTGACTTTCTGGGTAATCTCCTCGTTGAAGCTGCCTGAGTCCCAAGTATATCAGAAACGAGAGGGGGGACAGCTGCAAGTTGCATTTTAACACTTACAATCAAAACCTTTAAGTGATGACACTGTCATAGCTACACAGTTGTGTCCATTCATCTAGAGGGGTTTGGTTTTCGTGTCCGTATGGTTTGCTCTTTGCTAGCCCAGTAAACCCAGACCTCTTAACCTTGTCGTTATTGCCATTATCAGAGATGACTTGTACTTTTCCAAGTCTTTCTGGAAGCCTGCCCTTTTCCTAGGAAGGACAGAGGACATTATACAGAAACCTCCCCTGTGCTGACGCTGCTAGTGCTTTTCTTACATTCTCACTTAATTTCCAACAGCCTTGATGAAGGAAAGTGTGACACAAGGTAGGAAGTTTGAGATGTTGTCTTCTTGTATTTGCAGGTGACAAGGACGTCTTTGTGTGCATGCCCACAGGGGCTGGGAAGTCCCTCTGCTATCAGCTCCCTGCTCTCTTGGCGAGAGGCATCACCATTGTCATCTCTCCTCTCATTGCTTTGATTCAGGTGAGGCTTAGGGGATGCAGATGGCAGCCCAGCGCAGTTAGGGATGCTTGTTTACAGCTGCAAATAGCACTTCTCCTTCCTTTAGTCTCTGCCTCTCATCTTTGATTTGCCTAACTTCCTCTGTTGGGTTTCTAAGCTGCCCACATGTGGGATTAGCTCATGAGTTTTGAAGGAGTCTTCTGTATTTTGATGGCCTGAGGCCGCCCACTTCCGCTGCGATTTGTCTAGAGGTGTATGAAACTGCACGTGTTGTGGACGCCTCACTCTCCCAGGGGCACATCTGTGCCCTCCGGACGGGCATAGAAGATGCAGATGGCTAGAAAGAGAAATTGCTGGGGGTAGTCCCTAGGATCCTGCTTTTTTCTGGCACAGCTATGAGACAGAAAAAAAAAAAAAAAGAAACTGGTGTGATGTTGCTAACATCTACTTTGCACTTTGACTATACTTACGGGCTGCAGGTGGGCTGAGAGAATCCAGAATCAGGAAGTGCATTCTGTGGTTAAGAACTTTCCACCATGAGAGCCCTCCCTGGTGGCGCAACGGCTTAGGACGCAGCACTGCAAGTTGGCCACAGCCGCTTCAGTGCGAGTTCCATCCCCGACCCCAGAGGTGACCACATGGCGCGGCAGACCTCTCCTGACCCGCCCGCTGCTCCCCTCAGCAGTGGACTTCGTCCATCTGCCTGTTCTCCCTACTCTGTCTCTGGTGGATTCTCTGAACCACCCCTGTACCTCTGGCCTGTACCCCAGTTCTGTATGCATAAATAAATAAATCTTAAAAAAAAAAAAAAAAAGAACTTTCCACCATGAAGAGAGAGCGGGAAGACGGGAAGAATAACACTTAGCGTTCACCAGGTCTCCGGCTTTGTGCTGAGCACTTTGTGGGCATTCATTTTGCCTCTGAAATGTCACATCTTCAGTTCTTTCAACAGTCTGAGAAAGTAGTTATTTTTAGTCGAGAGAGGAAGTGAGCGAGAAAACGGAAAGGTTAAGAAGCAGGTGGGGAGCACGTGGTGACGAGGTGAATGAGGCTGTCTGGCCCCAAAACCTGTCCCCACCGTTTCACCTCTGCTACTCCTGTGCAGAGCGTGCACAAGCGGGGGCGGGAGACGCTTTCCAGTCGGACGCACCCTCATTGGTCACAGCCACTTTGCCCATGGAGCCAGGCCCTCAGTTGTGTGCCCTCTACAGCCTCTTCCCCGTCTGCCCTCAGGACCAAGTGGACCACTTGCTGGCGCTGAAGGTACGAGTGAGTTCCCTGAACTCCAAGCTCTCAGCGCAGGAGAGGAAGGAGCTGCTGTCTGACCTGGAGCAAGAAAAGCCCCGGACCAAGCTTCTGTACATCACGCCGGAGATGGCGGCCTCAGCCTCCTTCCAGCCCACCCTGAACTCCCTGCTGGCCCGCCACCTGCTCTCCTACCTTGTGGTCGACGAAGCTCACTGTGTCTCCCAGTGGGGACATGACTTCCGTCCTGACTACTTGCGCCTGGGCGCTCTGCGCTCCCGCCTGGCACACGCCCCGTGTGTCGCTCTGACCGCCACCGCCACCCCGCAGGTCCAGGACGATGTGTTTGCCGCCCTGCACCTGAAGCAGCCGGTCGCCACCTTCAAGACGCCCTGCTTCCGAGCCAACCTCTTCTACGACGTGCAGTTCAAGGAGCTGTTGTCCGACCCCTACGGGAACCTCAAGGACTTCTGCCTTAAGGCGCTTGGACAGAAGGCTGATAAGGGGGTGAGGGCGTGGAAGCTGGGGTCCAAGCTGCATCCAAGTCAGGGGGCACCAGCTGCAGCCTGGGGGTGGATACTGGTTTTCTAAGACCTGCGCTTTCTTTAGCTTCCCTAGCCAGTTCCTGAAAATCGGTGCACAGAGAGAATTGTCCTTGGCTTCTTGCCATGTCCCCCTTCCTGGAGGTCCCTTGTTCTGGAAGCCTTCTGGGGGAGGCCTGTGGTGACCGGTCAGCATCTGAGGGGAGGAGGCAGAGGAGCTGAGTTTGGGCTGCTTTGGCCCTGTCTGCGAGCCCTCCTGGGTGTCCTGTCTCCGGGAAGCTGAGGCTTCTGGGAGAAGTCACAGAGCGGCTTTTCATGCGGGTGGCAGTAACATGGGCTTTTCCCACTTCTCCCCAATGTTCATGTTCCTCCTGTGTCTCCGCATTCAGGTGTTATCCGGCTGTGGCATCGTCTACTGCAGGACCAGAGAGGCCTGTGAGCAGCTCGCCATAGAGCTCAGCTACAGGGGTGTCACCGCCAAGGCTTACCACGCAGGTAGGGGGTGTCCCCGGCCCGGTCTTCCTTCCCAGAAGCCTCCTCGCTGTCTGCTTCCTGTAGCTCCTGGATAGCCAGGTGGCCCCTCTTCTGGTCCAGCTCCCCTGGCAGAGCTCAGGTGATTCACCACAAGGAGCTTCACTGCGAGGCTGAAAGGAGATTCGTGTCCCTGTACCCACCCAGAGGTGCTGTGTTCCCTTGAGCCTGGCCTGGCTATTGGCCTTGTAGAGGGGGTGACGCTGTGGAAGCCGAAGGGCAGGGGCTTGCATTTTGGCACAGGCGCTTTTTGAGGGTTGAACAGGCCAGGATCTTTATTTACTCAGGCTCAGGGAGGTGGAGACGTGGGCTGACAGCTGCCAAGTGCTGGACTCTGGGTATGTGGACAGTACCTGGTGCGGCGTCAGACCGGGGAACCCCAGGGCCGTGCGAGTCCCCTCCCCCCCTTCCTCTCCCAGGGCTGAAGCCTTCTGAAAGGACGCTGGTGCAGAACGAGTGGATGGAGGAGAAGGTCCCTGTGATTGTTGCAACCATCAGCTTTGGGATGGGTGTGGACAAAGCCAATGTCAGGTGAGCTGTGGCTCAGGTTTGACTTCCCAGTGGGGGCCTGGCTCAGGTGAGCTGCCCAGTGGTCCGCCCAGGGGCCAGGTCCATGTGTGCCTTGCTGGGGGACCAGATCGGGCAGTTCCTGTGCCACGCGGCCCAGAGGGGCGGCACGCACGCGTCAGGTTCCAGGCTCAGCCCTCATCAGCACAGCCCTGTTCACTCGCATCTTAGCCAAGGTCTCATGAGAATCATTCCTCGCTGCTGCTGTGGACATTCCAGAAGAGATATGTGTATCCCAGCCTCCTTACCCCACAGACCGTTGGGACATCTCTTACTGCTCGCTTCCAGTGACATTCTGGGCTATTGTTTGAAGCCCTTTGCTCTGATTAACAGCAACAATAATGCTTTGTGTGGTTTACCAAGCGCTTTGGCCTACTTAAGCCTTGCGGTGACCCTGAGCTGGTCTAGGAATTAGTTTTGTATGACATTTGAGAGGACATGGACTTTGGGAATCAGAGTTTGAACCCTGGTCTGCTGGGGCCACACCTGAAGTCAGCTACCTCTGGGTTCAGGTCGTGCCCCGGTCCCCTGCCCTTGGCCCTGGCCCTTGCACAGTTCCTGGACTACAAAGCAGGCCCGTCTCCCGCGGTAGTGAGTGTAAAAATGAAGTAAGACAAATGTACGCGCTGACTCGTAGGAGGTACTTCGTGTTAGCCTTCCTCTGGCCGCAGTTGTCAGGTTATTTTCTTATGTCCAGAATTGCCCTCCCCCAACTCCTGCTGTGGCCAGGGAGCAAGTGGGCTACCCCTGGTCAGGGAGGGCTGCTGGTGGACGCAGTGTCTTTGCCACACTCGCTGGGGAGCGCCTCTGCCCGACTGCCGGCCTCTACCTGTCCCGGGAGGGCCGCTCCCCTGACTCAGCGGGCTCCTCTCAGCTCGTCCGCCTCATCTCCGCTGTTTGTCTCGATCCTGCAGGTTTGTCGCCCACTGGAATATTGCCAAGTCTATGGCTGGGTACTACCAGGAGTCTGGCCGGGCAGGCAGGGACGGGAAGCCTTCCTGGTGCCGCCTCTACTACTCCAGGAGTGACCGGGACCAAGTCAGCTTCCTGGTCAGGAAGGAGATAGCAAAACTCCAGGTACGTGCGGGGCACGGGCAGTGGGAGCCCTTCCTGCCCAGACCCACCCCTCTCCAGTTCCCCAGCCGTTTCCGAATCCAGGCGGAGCGCTTGAAGCTGGAGGGGCGCTCCCGGGCCCAGCGGGCATGTGAGGGCAGGTGTGCTGACGGGTTGGCACTCTGCAGCAGGCGAGGCTGGCTTTTAGTTATGGCCATCTTTCTGTTTTGTTTGTTTTAAGGAAGTACCATTCCTCTGCATCCTTGTTCACTTTTTGACTTGTATGGTTATCTTAACGGTCTTTCGTGTGCACATTCTTGGATGTGGCCAGGAGCATGCCCACCTTGTTTCAACTAGCATCGACACAGAAGCCTTTCCCCGTGTTGTTATAAGCTCCTTGCTTTCAGTCTGGTCATACATTCTCTGTACATAAGGAAGCTTGGCGTGTGGTCAGTCACGTTATAAACCAATAGGAAAAGGAGGACCTGTTGAATGATTGCTGCTGGGAAAGATAAAATCAGATTCCTGCCTCATACTGTGCACCTGTGAGTTTCAGACGGACTAAAGACCTCAACGACATGCGATACCCGGAAATCGCTCCATGTGCCTTTGAGAAAGGGAAGCTCATGTCACGATTTTCAAAGGAGAAACCGTCAAGGAAGATTTGATCTATTTGACAAATTCAGATTCAACTAAAGTGTCACTGAAATGAGAAATAAATGAGCCGTGGGTGGGAGGTGTTTGCAATGTGGAAAAGACTACGTGGAAGAGAGCGACAGTAGATAAGGAAAAGGCAGAGGGTCACCTCAAGAGGAGCAACCAGGCCATCAGCCACTTGTGGGGGCTCCACCGCACCTCGGAAACGCCAGCCGGGCAGCAGCTGTCACAGCACCCCCTCGGCTCGGCTCGGCATCTTTGCAGAACTGTCAGTGAGCATGAGGCGAAAGCGTCACTCGTGCGTGTTGTGAGGAACCAAGCTGGTCCAGCTGCTGTGGAGAAAGGTTGGGGTCCCGTGGCCCCTACTCACCAGGAGCTAATAGGTGTAGGTGACGGCCAGGCAGGCTCTGGTCCTGCTTGGGTTCAAAAAGCGCATACTTACTACTCTGTCAGAGATTTACGAGGCTCTCACTGTGCTATTGAGCGCTGAGTTCCAGGAGAGCTGGGCCTCATTTCCTGTGTATCTGCAGGGCCTGGATCAGTGTCGGGAGCGTAGTGCCTGATAAATGTTTGATGAGGGAATGAGCAAATGAGCGAGTGGGGAGAGCTGGTGAGTGCAACGAGGGCCTTGTGGGCCAGGAGTGAGCTTGGCCTCAGCTAAGGGGGCCTCAGCTCACCTCTTTTATCTGAAATTAGCCGCGGAAAACATTCTGGTGAGGTGATGGGGAAGAAGGTTATTTAAAATTTGGTAACACGACAAATTACAAGACTTGACAGCCGGCTCATCGTTGAGACATTTGAGATAAAGACGCTACAGAAGGCTTCTAGAAGGCTGATGGAGAAGCACTGGGCGCCAGAAGAGCGTCATTTCCCTACTGTCACCAGAAACCAGACAACAAACGATGCCTCTTAATTCTGAAAAGACTGAGAGAGGCAGAGAGTTGCTAATGTCTTCCAAGTGTCTATGTCCTATTTTTTTTACTTTTCTGTTTTTAATTTCACAGTATTTAGCAAATTTGATTAAACATGTATAAAAAGGCAAGTGACGCCTTTCCAAAGTACTCACTGGTAGCACCGTACCTCCTTTCAGCCACACAGAGCTGTGTTCCTGAAACCTACGTGTATCTGTGAGCTCCTGCACCCACACCCTTGTGTGTGGCGACTGTTGTTGAATTGGGCCACGTCACCCAGTGGTTCCCGAATGCCTGTCTGGGCTCTTGGCATGAGAATCACCTGAGCAGCTCTTTGAAAATATGTATTCGCTGCAACTTCAGTTCCAGAAAGTTTGGCCCAGTTCAGTCCTTTTTTTAATTTTTTTTTTAAAGATTTATTTATGCATACAAGAACTGGGGTTCAGGCCAGAGGAGTGGGGGTGAGAGGATTCACCAGAGACGAAGTGAGGAGCAAAACAGGCAGATCCACTGAAATACACTGGTGAGGGGAGTTGTGGGGAGACAGGAGAGGTCCCTGGCCAGGGATCGAACTCATGCTGCAGTGGCTGCAGATAGCTTCATAGTGCTGAAACTTAACCCCTTGCACCACCAGTCCAGTCTTTTAAACGTCCCCCAGGTGGTCCTGATGCACGGTCAGGTTTGGGAACACGGTTGGATAACAACTTTCGTGCTATCAGGTCTTCTTGGTCATAATTTCTGTACTAGCACAAAGTCTAAGACTTTCTCTTGTTTCCAGGAAAAGAGGGGGAACAAAGCATCTGATAAAGCTGCTCTCTTGGCCTTTGATGCCCTGGTGGCCTTCTGTGAAGAAGCGGGGTAAGTGATTAACGTGGTACCGAGCAGGATGTGAGTGAGACCCGAGACCTTTCCCTGTGCCCGCACTAGCTACGCAGCGAACGTAAGCAGCTGTGGGCCGCCAGGGACCCCAGTGAAGGCCACGGTCTGGGGTGTCCCGTCGGGCAGTTTGGAAGATGGTACCAGCAACCGGCAGTGTGAGGACTCAGTGAGTGACTTGGGGGTCCTCCACCCCCCCCACTGCCTGCTGGCCCCGAGAGGGATGCAGTTCTGGCACCAGGCCGCTTCTGAACCAGCAGCCCATGGCCGTGTCCCTGAGCTGGGCCGCGGGCTTCACCTGAGGGCAGCCACTCGCACTGTGGGCCCAAACAGGCCGCTGCCTCCTTGGAACCCACTTTCCTAGTTTACCTGCACCTCCTGGGGGGCAGCAGGGGCACCATGAGCCCGAGAGCTGCTCAGGGGTGGGGAGCGGTCTGGGCACAGCCGGCATGGTGCGGGGGGCTGTCTGGGAGAGCTTGGTGTTTGTGCAGCCCCTTGGTCTGAAAGCCCTTTGAGGCCTCTGCTCTTGCGGGTCAGATCTCGTCGGCTGACGAGGCAGAAGAGCTTGCTTCTGACTCGGACGAAAAGCTGGGCCCGGAGTGGGGGCTGAGCTCAGAGACGCCTCGCAGCCCGGTGTTCCGTTTCCAATGAGGCCGTGTTTGTACACACCGTCTTGGGTTTTGCAAGAACAGCTTGAAGCATGGTGGGGACAGCACTGGTGTCTGTCCAGCAGACGGTGGGGTTCCTCCGCTGACCGGAGAGACGCTTGTTGGGGCGGTGTGCTTTCACCCCCACCCCGTGGCTCCTGGACTGTCCTGTCTCATTACCTCTGGGCAAGCCCATGCCCCTCAGAGGTGGTTGGCTGCCATGCCGGGCTGCTCCCCAGTCACAGCCGCCTGTGACTGGAACACTTGCTGGGGCTCCTTCCAGGGGCCCTCAGCTGGCCCCAGGCTCTGGGCGGGTCCTCGCCACAGGACCTGTCTGTGCCTGTGTGTCAGGGCCCCTTTGCCAGAAACAGCCCTGGGCTTCTTGTCTGGGAGGAGACTGAGGAAGAGCCTGAGGGGCTCTTGGGTTGGCTCCTCCACGTCCCCAGAGGCCGCAGCCACCCCTGGCCTCCAGGGCCTCACACCAGGGGGTTGGGGACCAAGTGCCTCAGGGACCTCTTAGTGCACCGGGGGGGCCTCCACGGGTGCGGCTCCATCTCTTCCCTCGCTGGCTACACGGGAAGGCTCTAGAGTCTAGAACACTGGGACCCTGGGAGGAATAAACACTGCAGTGTGACCAGATTTGAAATTGCTCTTTGTGTGAGGAATGTTTCTTGGCTGCATGCAGGAAAAGCCCCTTCCCACCACGTATGTGCTTTTCAAGTAGTCCTGGCTCAAGGTTGAAGTTGGGGCAGAGGTGCCTTCGATGGCACCAGGAGCGAGGGGCAGGCCAAGGCAGCGACTGGCCGCTACGGACTGCCAGACCCTGAGGGTGTGGCGTGACTGTGGTGGCAGAGAGGACCCCTCCCCTGCTTGTCTGCTGGTGGGCCCAGTAGGGAAGACGCCTCTGCAAAGACCCCTCGTAGGGTCTGGGGCTCCCGACAGAAACGGGCATCTCTGGGCCAACAGAAAAGACGCTCAGGTCACCGCGCCAAGCCTGGGGGGGCATCGTGGTTTTCCTCTCTCTGCGGGCAGCTCCTGTCCTCGGAAAAGAGGCGTTGATTATTCGTGATGGGGCTTTTTAAACTCTTAGTGGGGAAAGGAAAAGGAATTAGGCCCTGCATCTGTCTTGGCCTGGTGGGGCTGTCTGGGAGCGCAGCGACCCGCTCGTTCACCCAGCCAGCGGTGCTGCTGCTCCTGGCTATTTGCCTGCCCTGCAGATGCGGGGCTCACGGTAGTGGCAGAGAGGACCCTCCCCTTGGGCTGGGGGAGGACAGGCCCTCATTAGAGAATCACATCAAAACGTATAATTCCAGACTGTCCAAAGGGCTTGGGAAAACAGGGACTTGTCTGAGAGTGTGGAACAGGTGACCCCCTTCTGGGCCTCCCAAAAGTCAGTCATTGCTCTTCACACTTGACCTTCTCAACTGGCTGCAGAACCCCAAATATCACAGCAAACAGGATGAGGAACAGGACCATGGAGATGAACAGGCTGATGACGACCAGGCCGCCCCTGTCCCAGGCGTTCTGCCAGTACTCCTCGTTCCACCTCTGCCGCTCTTCCGCCAGCTTGTCCATGTGGCCAGGAGAGGGCGCACCTGAGGGCAGGGACCGCTCAGCCCTGCCCAGCGCTAGCCCGCCCCGCCAACCACCCGCTTCACGCTCATAGCAGTCTGGGGCGGGGTGCGGGGGGCAGGTTCTTTGGGCTCCGCCTTGGGCAGGCGGCATGGCCCTCCCCTTCGACAGAGGAGGGGACTGGCACCAAGAGAGGGGCCTCGGGTGCTGCCAAGGCTCCACTGGGTTCTCCAGGCCTTTCCCGGGTAGCTCAGCTCTGAGGACACTCCTGTCCCTAGGATGCAGTCAGGTGGAACCTCCAAAACACCGTGCCGGAACCCTCCTGTTTCTCGCGCCTCCATTGCCGAACCCCTGGGAAGCGTTTTGAGAGGCCAGCACGGGAGCAGAGGACTAGCTGCGTTGAACGTCAGCTGGGCTGCAGCCGCTGAAGGGAGGCGGAGCGGGGGTGCCTACCTGACTCCTGGATCCTGACAGGTGGGGCTGACCCTTCGGCTCCACGCTCGCCGCACAGAGCTGCGCCCCCACTCAGAGGCAGCTGTTGTGAAGGAGAGGCGTGGGCATGGCCAGTGGCCCGGACCAGGCCTCATTGCTGTCACCAAAGCAAACAAAGGTGGGCTAGGGCCAGTTGCCCGGCAACCGCGTTCCCTTCCACCCTTTCGCTCGCCTCACAACTGCCCGCGTGTCTGTGATGTCACGAGGGGCAGCTGGGGTAGTGTGGTGAGTCGTCCTCTTTGAGTCTTGAGTTGGGGTGCAGGGCAACCACCTGATCCAGGGCCACTCTGTGGCCTTCTCTGGCTGGGTCCCACCTCTCCTGCCTGCCTGGGCGACCTGTCCTGAAAGGCCTGCCCAGTGCGGGAAGCCCTGGACTGCCACACAGCTGTCCTCTTCCTGTGGTGCTGTTCAGTGATTAACCGCAGCGCTGCCTGGCACCTCTGGAGCCAGCTCTGGGTGGAGGTGATACCCGCCCTCCAGGCCCAGGCTCCGCGGAGGGAGGCTCCCGCGGAGGGAGGCCCACTTCTCCCTCAGTGCCTTGCTCAGCTGCTTCTGCGTTGCGTGGTAGATTCTTCCCCACAGCCATGATGGGCGCTAGGAAGTGGGGAGGAGCAGTACCTGAGGCTGACAGCTGGCTCTTAAAAGACAGGACTTGAGGGCCTGCAGCGGCCAGGAGCTGCCGTGGGGGCTGCGTGTCTGGCTGTGAAGGGAGCTGGGCAGGCCCTGCCCTCCCACTGATGGCATTCTATGCCCTGCATCCTGCGCCCTGCTTGCTAGGGTTGTCTAGGGGCTTCTGTAAATCCCTGCCCAGCCCCGCCCACTCCCAGCAGCATTCTGTGGGGGCCCAGCAGTCGGGTGTGAGGCCGCAGACCACAGGCAAGGTCCACAAAGCCCTCAACTACCACGGGCTGCACTGACCCGCTTCCCTGCTCTTCACGCTCCTATAAAACACACTGACTAATGCCCTTGGCCTGCTGGACACTCCCTGTCAGTAAACTGGTCCCCAGTGCTCCCTCCTACTTCCGCCCCAGCAGTAGGCGAGATGATTCTCGGAGGGTGCTGTTCCCAGGCCTGTTTGTGACGGTGGCTCTTGTTGCTGCAATGACGGGGTTGCGTTAACATTACCCCCCAAAAAAGGCATAGTGTTTTCAGCTGGGGGACAGGCCCAGAGAGGTTAAGGGACTCAGCAGAGGCCGCCAGGAGCTGAGGGCTGAGCCCAGTTGTTCAGCTCCGCTCCGGCTCAGTGGGAGGAGAGCCAAAGTCATTTCTATAAATACCTATCTGACCATTTGGAGTGACTAATAATATTCCTGTCAGAATAGATGCGGACAACTGTTAAACATTTTGTAAAAATCCATAAGCCTCTCCACACTTGGGTTTCTCTGCAGATGGCTTTCAGTTCTGCTTCAAAGAATCAAAACTAGCAAAAGGACAAAACAAGGACTCTGGTCAGCCCCCCGACACCTGAGAAAGACCCCACTTCTACCTCAGACTGGTTGGCCCCAGTTGGCTCTATTTAGATGCGCTGTGTGGACACCAGAGTCACGCTCTCGGCCTCTTTTTCAGTTGTGGCCCTGGCCACAAGCCCAACTGGCGTGAGGCTCCGAAGAGAATAGCTTGCTGGGGAGAGATGGGTGCCTTGGCTCTGTGTCTCTAGGCAGCTGAAGGGTGTCCTGGTCATGCACAGGTGATGCTTGAGGCGAGACGTGAAGGGTGCGTCAGAGCTGAGCTTGGAATCAGCATCCCTCAAGAGGCAGATGGCTCCAGAGGGAATCAGAGGCTTTTTTAGAGGACAAAATGAATTGGTCCTCAGTTTCTTACGGCCTGGAGTTGGTATGAAGCGCATCAGATATGTCATGTGAGAGTTGAATTGTACATTGTTTTGTGGGGGGGAGCAGATGAGTCTGCTCTGTGGGCTCTTCTGTGGGTTGTTCTGTGGGTTCATCTAGGCTGGCACATAATCAGCAGACAGGTTGGCGAGAGAAAAGTCCCCCAAACAATGTGTGTCCCTCCCGTATACCTCGGAGAACCAGCAGTGAGTGACTTGCCAGAGTGGCGGAAGTCACCTCTTGAGGAATCCAGGGACACAGGATGTTGGGGAGAGGGCGTCTGTCACAGGCAGTCAGTTGCATGGAAAGGCCCAGCTGTGAGCAGATCAACCATCTCCGCCGAGAAGAGTAAAAGACTTAAAGGGATCAGGTGGTCACCCTGAGACAGCGAGGAGACCCCCCCGCACCTCGCAGAGGCAGCTTCTCCCTCCCACAGGGAGGTGTCTCTTAGAAAAGAGACATCCTGCAGCCGACTGTCAGTGTCCCCCAGGAAATAGTCCTACGCCAGAGAGACATTCTTGGGGTGGCAGATTTGCTCCCTCGTCCTTTAACATGTCGACATTTGAGAAGCCTTGAGGAGAAGACAGGTCTGCTGGTGCCAAGTTTTGCGATGAAGTTTGTGAAGCGGTAGCTTGGCTGCGGCTTCTATGAGGCCCAAGGTGCCAACAGCAGCTAGGCACCAATGTGAGGTGCCCGCGGAACCTTTCGAGGAACTGGGGCCTGTGTGTGTTGCAGCGGAGATGGTGGCTGGAGGGCGGCGGCCTGGGGCGAGAGCGAGAGTCTCAAGGACTGGTGGCCAGTTCTGGGCTCAGCCCACGTTGTCTGTTCCTCGCCTCGGTGGGGAGGGGCCGCCTCCTCTCAGGCCCGTCTTCCCAGCCAGGCCTGCTGCTTAATTTGGGTGGGATGGAAGCCTGTCCCCAGGCCTTGGCCAAAGCCGCCTTTGGTGGGGGGCTCCGAGGGCAGCAGGCCGCGCTCCGCGGCAGGGGCAGCCGCCTCTTGGCTCAGGAGGCCGTGCTGCATGCTGCCGGGCCTGGATGGGCACACGCGGACCACCGACGGGCCCAGGGTTGCGCCCCTCCAAGGGGGACCGGGAGCCCAGAGCTGGGCCGCTGCCGCCCTCAGCAAGCGACATTCTGGGTGTCGATGAGAACTCGCTTGAGGAAAGTCACAGGGAGTTTGGGCTGCTCAGTGTCCGAGCCTCTCCTGGGGCCACCCAGCTGTGGGTGCCTCGGCGCCTGCTCGCAGGGCTGTTATTTGGAGAGGGTTTGAGGTGTGGCTCCTTGGGATTTGGGGTCGGTTGGTGGGGGATAATGGAGTCAGAGCCTCATCTGGATGCCAGGCCGGGGCACTGAGGGGGCAGAAAATGGAGGCTGGAGGCCGCTGTGCAGCCCAGTGGCTGGTTGGACTGAGGCAAGTCTCTCGGTGTCACTGACGCCCAATTTCCTCACCTCCGGAAGGGAGGATAATGAGGCAGTTGTGTCAGTGAAATGAATGTGTCCGCGTTAAAGTGCTTAAGACCACGGCTGAGCACCCACAGGCCCTCGGGTTTAGCCGCCTTTGCTGTATCATCATCCTTGTGATAATTTTTCTAGATCCCGGGCGTCTGTGACCCTGCAGGTACAAGCAGATCTGTGGAAATGCTTCCCCTATGGAATGTCAACCCAGACCAAACTGGTCAGACAGGTCCCTGGACACCAGGAAGTGAAACTAGCCTGAGAGTGCTGCCTGCCTGCCAGGAGCTGGAGGCCAGCTGGCACCCCCCCCCCACCTGCCCCCTGCTCCCTGAGTGGGCTGGCACCCCCCTCCCGCCCCCCTGCTCCCTGAGCGGGCCTGCACACACACACCCCACCCTGCTCCCTGCCCGAGGGGCTCTATGCAGGCAGCCAGAACACTGACTGCCCCAGTGCACACAAATGCAGATGCTTTCTGGCTCTGGGGAACCCTTGGGGGAAGGGGTGCGGTACCACAGGGGCCTTCTGCCTCCCTTACCCTCTCTCCTGGGCAGTAGCTCAGTCTGGAATGTTCTCTGGAGGACCAGGTGAACTGAGGGAGCAGCAGGAAGTCACTTCTCGCAGACCAGTCTGGGATGGGACCAGGTTGCCCTTTGTGGGGAGGGCAGGTGATGGTGGGTCACCTCTGCCCAGCTCTGTGCCACATGCCCAACTCAGGTCACCCCAGAGTACCCTCGCAAGCTGCCCCAGGAGGTAGGGACGGGGTGCAAGGCTCAGGGAGGCCTGTGAATGGCCTGCGCTCACTGTGGGGAGCAGCAGCGGGTGAAGGTTTGCCCCAGGCAGTCTTGGCGGGGGTGAGGGGCTACGCCAGGAGCCTGGTCTCTTCAGATCCAGGGTTCCCTAAGCGCAGATGTTCAGGGAGCCCTGGCGGCTGGCCTGAGCTGCCGTGGGAGTCGTTCCGGCGGAGTATTTGTGGGTTCCTAGACCAGCACCCGCTGGGCGCAGCCCCGTTTGTGGGAGCCCGAGGCAGCCTGTGCTCCTAGGGACCGTCCCGCGCCCTTTCTCTGCGCGCTTGGAAGGGGAGCAGAGGCCTGGAAAGGCAGTCCCTGGCCCCCACCCTCCCAGTGCCCAGTCCATGGGGCTGGCACCACAGAACACAGCCCAAAAGCTTTTACTGGGAAAGAAACAGGCAGATACCGTGGAGAAGCCTGAGAGCCTCCCGGCAGGCCCCGCGGGCCCCGGCTGCTGCGCCCAGCCCTGCGCTCCTGCTGCTCCTCTTCGCCGCGGGTTGGCGGGCAGGTGGGTTGGCAAGTGGGCAGGCGGGCCAGCCCACCCAGGCGTAGGCATTCTGCCCTCTGGGTCGCTCCTCCTCGGCGCCCAGTGGCCACTGACAGGGGCGGGGCTGGGGTGCAACATCCCATTCCTCGCAGAGGGCCGGGCTGACTCTGGGTGGCTCCTCTCCAGCTTCTCCTGGGTCCTCTGTCCTCAGCGGGGGGCCATGGGCTGCACCTGGCTCTTCCTGCCCCGGGGCCCCGGGCAGCAGCCGCCGCAGCAGTAGCAGCTACAGGTGATCATCAGCAGCACCAGAATGGCAGCTAGAGGTTGGGAGAGAGCAGAGGGGGCTCAGCGGTGGGAAGACAGGGGGCACACCCAGCCTCCGAGGAGCCCTCCCTCCGTGCGGCCGGGCTCACTCTCTGAAGTGCCCGAGTCTGACAGTGGCACCGATGCACCTCACTGGGCAGGAGGTCCTGATCTTCCTCCAGCTCATCCAGAGCTTTGCTCCCTTCATCCTGGGCTGGGATGAGGCGGTGTCTGGCCCCCGGACATCGTGTGCCTCCCCCAGGGACGCCCCTGCTCTCCCTCGGGCTGAGGGAGCCTGCCTGCTCCAGCCCTTGGTTCGCACCCTGCCCCCTCGCTGACAGTATGGGCAGCAGGCTGAGGGGCCCCCACTGACCTATGAACAGGATGATGGCCGAGAAGGCCACGATCTCCACGGGCTCCGCCTGCGGCAGCCTCTGTAGCTTAAACAGCAGCCTCTCGCCTACCGCATGCATCTCCTGCGCGAAGTTGGAGGCCGCCATGCTGGGCTGGTTCCAGTGGGTTCCAGCTGGGGCTCCTGCCGGACTGTGCTGAGCAGAGAGAGGACCTGGAGTCCCCAGGCTGCCTCTGGAGAGCCCGCCCTCACCCTCCAGGGCCTGCAGAACGAGTTTGTCAGGTCTCACCTATCACTGTCTCACTCAGGAGGGAGGGAGCCTCTAGCCCCCCTGCCCAGCAGTGGCCCCCAGCCCCTGCCCCTGCCTGGGGTGTGGGAAGCTGGCCATGGCATAAGGCTGAGACCCTCCGCTGGACTGCCCGCCAGCAGGCCAGGTCGGCCAGGTCTCTGAGCTGGTGCTGCATGACCCTGGTGTCGCATTCCTGTCTCAACCACTACTCCTACGTCCTGCCTGGTGCCCCACACTGGCACGGGTCCCCTGGGGGCCCCAGGGCCATCCAGGACCTGGCTGAGACCTGCTTTGCTGGCCTGACCGGGGAGGCCCCTCCACGCCCACCCCACATCAGGTGTGCCCACTCAGGGCCACAGCCTCTTCCCGTCTGGGGCCTTGGAAAGGCCAAGCAGAGGGCTGGGCTGAGTTGGGGTATTTTGCATCAAAGGTCTTTCCAGACCGCTTCCCTGTGGGCACGGCTGGACCAGGGCAGTCTAGAATCAACCCAACCTGTTTACTCAGGATACTCTCACCCCAGGGAGGGGGACAGCTGGCTGGGGTGCGCGCCAGGCCGTGGGCTCTAGCTGTTGCTGCCTCGGCGGTCTCAGCCAGTCCGGTCTCCAGAGGCAGCTGCATGGCCCAGCTGGGGCCCAGCCGCCCGAGGGGTTCTCCTCCAGTCTGTGCCCACACTGGGCTCCCTGCCCTCCCACAGGGGCGAGCAGCCTTCGCTTGATCCCCACGCGTGAGGGGGGAGGCCCCCCACCCCTCCTGGGGCAGCCCCGGTCCCAGGAGGTGGGGCTCCTGCCGCCTCAGGTCAGTCCCACCTGTGGTCGCTTGAGCACCCCTTGGGCTCTCCTACCCTCGTGCTCAGGGTCTTCAGGACCTGGAATGCTGCTGGAATCATCGGGGTCTGAGTGTGGCCCCTTTAATTCCTTTGTGACCCGCCGAGCCCCCTTGTCTCCTGAGTCTGTTCTTTGCCTTTTTCCACACACAGACATGCAGCCCCTCTCAGAGCTGTGGGGGGACTAACACCTGCCACCTCACCTGCCGCGGGGTGCCCAGACACCTTGGGGGACTTTCACTTGTATCCTTCCTTCCCAGGATGTGTATGGCTTGCAAGGTGGAGGGGGAGCTCTTCTAGGAAGTGTGTGGGTGGGGCAGCAGGCAGACTCGCAGAGAACATGATGGTTTCCTGTGGGAAGCGAGAGGCCCTGGCCTTGGCTCTGAGCGGCTCCCACCCCAGCAGGGTCAGCCAGAGATTCAGATTCCCGTTTCCAGATGTGCTGAGCACCGGACCCTGGGAGGCCAAGGCCACCCTCCCAGCCCTTTTAGCATGTGGGGTGACAGGAGAGTGCCTTTTTCTGAAGTCACACAGGATGGGGGGCCTGGCAGCTGTCCCCGTGTGGCCCCCATGGGTCCCTTTGACCCAGAAGTCAGCCAGCTGCCCACGGAGGGCCTACCAGTGAAGCTGGGCACTCGGCCCTGCCCCCCCAGGAGGGCGGGCTGCCTGTGCTCAGCCCCTCCCCGCAGCTTTATCAGTATCAGGCGCCACCCAGCAGGCGCCGCCAGACACCTAAGGGACAGGCCTCTTTGCAGCTGGGTTCCCTGCGCCTGCCCGGAGCCCTCTCCTGTCACTCTCACTAGCGGGCAGCCCTCGCGGTTCTGCGTCTCTGGGCCATCGCCCTCCCAGGTTCTGGCTGGACAGGAGACCACCGGTCTCTCAGAGGAGGGAGTGATGCGCTTCTCAGAGGGGTTTGCGCTTGTCTGGAGCAGCTGCCTGGCTCCAGCTCCTCCCTCTCCCCTCTGAGCTGCTTCGCAGGCTGACCGCTCTGTGCTGCCCCCCCACCCCACCCCAGGCGGAAAGCAGAGCCCTGCCCCTCGGGGAAGTGTGGTCCGGCCAGTGGGGTAGCCACACGGTGGGCTGCCCCCCCCCCTCCGTGCCAGGCTTGCTTGTGGGCTGCCCTGTGCCACCTGGGCTCAGGCTCCACCCAAGAAGCCCAGGAGCCCCCCACTGCTTTTTAGTTGATGTTTTGTTGAGTCCCCTTGGGCTTGAATACTGAGTGAGGATGGGGAGCCCAGCGACTGACTGACTGGCGGGGAGAGGTTGCGTCCAGCGGGCCCCAGGCTGGGAGAGGTGCATCCAGCAGGTTCCAGGCCAGCTCCTGGAGGGCTATTTAAAGCAGGGCCGAGAGGGCACTGACGTTGGTGCCCGATATAACTGGCCGTTGTCGGGGGCCATGCGGCGTGTCCCAGCCACTGGTCTGCGGCGCCCTCCCAGTTCCGCGGGGACACGGCAGTGGGGCCGGCTGCCTCTTGTCCCCGTCACCTCCCAGTGTTGGAGGGAGGCAGGCAGGGAACCAGTGTGCTGCCCTGCCCCGGCTTTCCAGCCCCAGTTGGTCAGGGCCCCCCAAGCCCCCTCGCACCCGCAGGAGCAGGAGCTCTGCTCCTCTGGGCCTCCTGGGAACATGTCCGGCCCTTGGAGGGGCACTGGGCTGGGGTGGGGGTGCCAGGAGGGAGGAAAAGCGAGCAGGAGGAAGCGGCTGAGCTGGCGGGGCCAGAGGGCGTGTCCACGGCACTGAGGCCGGTAGAGCAGGCAGCTAGCTTCCCTGTCCTCTGACAGGCTGACACTGGCCGGAGGGCTGGCTGGCGTGTGCGTGGCTGATAAGGCCCTGGGCTCAGCAGGCCTCTTGCCCTCACGGGCTGGAGCCACCCTCGGGGCAGGGACCCGAGTCACAGCTGGCCGGAGCTGCATGGTGGGGCTCTGTGGGGGCCACCCTCAGCCCTTGAGGCGGGAGGCCCAGGGCCCAGGCGGCTCCCTTCTGTCCAGCCTCAGCAGGTGTCCAGGGAGTCCGACCATCTGGTTCCCTCCTGGGGTGCCTGCCTGCCCCAGCATCTTAGAGATAAAGGGCAGTGGGGTGACTGGGCTCCCCGCGCCCTCCCCCGCCCAGCCTCACCTGTCCTGCACTGCCCCTCACTAGGCAGCGTTCGAGTCGCCCCAGCCACTAAATCAGCCAAAGCCCACAGCCCGTGCCCAGCCTGGAACACTCAGCCTGACCCGGGTTTCCACTGCCCGTTTTTCTTTCTCAGTGGCTGCTAGCCTGTGTGCTGTGAGGAAGACATGAGGGAGGGGGGGCGGGGGGAGACTTCAACCCAGCCTAGGACAGGGAGGCAGACAGGAGGCGTGGGCAGGCCTTGCCTGAGAGCTGCTCTGGACAATCCCCGAGGAAGCGCCTAGGGGTCCCCAGGTGGTGTGGGGACCCCGGACACCAGCACCATCCCTCCCCCAACTCTTACTCTTGCATTCATGGGGATTTGGGGACTCAAGGGGGGTCGTATGGGCCCAGGATGCTCTCTGAGCAGAGCCCTGAGCTGAGAACACCTGGCAGTGAGGGCCCAGGCCCCCGCCGCCCCCCTGCCCGCCCCCAAGAGGTAGTGACGCCTCCAGGACAGGAGGGCGGGAGGGCGCTCTGCCCTAGTCCTGGGAAAGGCAATGCAGCGGGCAGGCCACAAGGTGTCCTTGCAGAGTCTGCAGCGCAGTGGGCCCCTCTGTGTGGCCGCAGGTGCTGGCCCAGGCCCAGCCAGGAGATGTGGCCGCAGGGGCCTGGACAAGCCTCTCTGACCTGCCCCTGTCTGCCTGGGCTCCGGCGCTCTTGCTGCTCCCTCCCCTCCTCCCTGACCCCGGGGTAGGTGACACTCACCTGGGGGCTCAGGTGTTTGGGTTGGGGTGGCTAGAGCTGGGGAGCCCAGAGCGAGCCCTCCTGGCTGCCACCCTTCCTCCCTTCCTCCTGGGAGAACCTCGCCTCTTTCCTGACCTGCGGCCGCTCCCTGGCGCCTCTCAGTGTTAGCAGCGAGCTGCTGACAGCCAGCTGCTGTCTCGGCCTCAGCTTTTTTGTTGTTGGTCGTCCAGGAGATCCAAGTGTCAGATTACAGGGGCGGGCCCCTGAAGTGGAGCAGTGCCCCCCAGCGGGAGGGAACCCCTGCCCACAGCCCTGGGCCTTGGGTTCCCTGCTGCCAGCAGTCTGCACACTCCCTCTCTGCCCCTCCTCCTCTTCCTCTCCGCCTGTGGGCTGGACTGGGCTGAGTGTGAGGAAAGGAGGTCTGGTTCCCAGGCTGGGATGGCCCCTGGGCTCCCACCGGAGCCGAGGGGAGGAGGCCCTGCGGCACTCCCAGCCCTGGTCCCCACTTCTGGGACACTTTCATGCCCCCCCAACCTGTCCCTCTTACAACTCCCTGCTCTGCTCTCCCCTGGCCTCGGCTAGGGAAGGAAGTCAGGAGTGGGAAGCTGCCGACCACCCAAGCAGCAGCCCCTGGGAAGAACCTGGGAGTCACTAGCCTGAGGGGAGATGCCTTGCCCTGCTCCCCTGGGGAGGGGCCCATTATTCCTTGGGGTCCTAGAGGACAAGGCTGGGCTTATCTGACCAGTGTCTGAGGCCTGGCCTGCAGTGCAGGCCCAGCTGCAGAGAGGGCCTTCGTGGCTCAGTGGCTGATGGCTCACTGACATTTGGTCATGCCGCGCCGCAGGCCAGGCTGTGCCCGGAGCAGGCTGGGCGCTGACCCCAGCCCGCACCTGGGAGCTGTCAATGGAGCCTTTTGAGTGTGAGCACAAAACTCCAGTGAGTCAGGGAATGGGGGGGAGGGGTGCAGGGGGAAGGAAGCGGACCGTGGGCCATACCACTTGGATGCCAGCGGCTCCCAGAGGCCAGACAGCAGCGACTACAGACACTCAATTCAGGCATGGCGGGGACAGCGCCCTCTGGTGGCCGCGCCCTCTGGGCCAGGCAGGGCTCATTCTCCACCCCACTAACAAGGCCACCAGCCCTGCTGTGCTTCCTAGGGGCAGTGTGGCCCTTCTTTGTGGAGTCAGCCCCAGGGGCCCCTGGCCTCAGACTTTCCTGCGAGGCCCAGGCAGTGCTCACATGGAGAGGAGCTCTGGTTAGCCCTGACTGCAGCAGTCCTTGTCCCAGGATGGGGCGGCAGGGCGGGGCGGGGATAGCCTTGCCGGCCCTCCAGCACCTCCCCAGCTCTCCCGCCCTCTGCGCAGTCCCTCAGCAGAAGTGGCTGTAGCAGGCCTTCTCCGGGCCTCTGCACTGCCCCCAGGCCACAGGAGCCATAGCTGGGAGCCGGTCACCTTGCTGTCCTCACAGGTGCTGGCCTGGGACGCCAGCACTCTGGCTGACTGGTCCTGCTCACAGCCTCTGGGACAGAAGGAAGAGGTCACTGAGAGACTGAAGCAGCCAGGGCCACCTCCGCTGCCCCCTCCCTCCCCCACCTCAGAAATGCCGAGAGTGGCAATAATTGCCCTCCTGTGCCAGACACGCACACAGCCCTCAGGCCCGTGCTCCTCACCTGCTCTGCAGGTGGGGTGTGGGGCTGGAGCCGGCTCTCCAGAGGGCTCAGCCTGGCAGCAGCGCTCCCCGGGCACCACAGCGCTGGAGGCCATGTGGGGAGGGGACAAGGAGGCAGCAGAGAAGTAACTGGAGAGCAGCAGGACAGGAGCTTCAGTCCCTGCCTCCTCTGGGGACCCTGGGGGTTACGTGGCCTCGGGAAAACTCCTTCACCTCTGGCCTCATCTGCGCAGTGGGAAACGGCGGTGTGTTGTGGCTCATCGGGGTGAGGGGCACCAGGCCATGCTCAGCTGGTGGGGTTGGGCCCCCTCACCGCTCTCTGCCGGGCTGCCTGCTCAGGTGCCGCCACGCCGCCATCGCCAAGTACTTTGGGGATGCCACCCCGGCCTGTGCCCGCGGCTGCGACCACTGCCAGAACCCTGCGGCCGTGCGGAGACAGCTGGACGCCTTGGAGCACAGCAGCTGGAGCAGGACCTGCATCCGGCCCGCCCAGGGGGACGGCTTCGACGCCGAGCTCTACGAGGGAGGCCGCAGGGGTTACGGGGGCTTCAGCAGGTGAGGGGCCGAGAAGCCGGGCCTGCCACCCACCGGGAAGCGTCTGGTCTCCCAGGGGCCACGGCTGGCTCAGGGCAACTTAGCACCACGGTCCATCCCCGGCCCTATGGGCCATGAGGGGCCGGGACCTCTGTTGTTCCCAGCTGCCAGGAGCTCAGGGCCATCACTGTCCCAGCGGAGGGCAAAGCCCAGAGCCGGGGGTGCCCACGGCCTGCCTGTCTCCTAGGTACGATGAAGGCTCTGGAGGCAGTGGGGACGAGGGCAGAGATGAGGCCCACAAGAAGGAGTGGAATCTCTTCTACCACAAGCAGATGAGCCTGCGAAAGGTGTGGGGGTGGGGGAGCCTTGGCAGAGCCCCCGGTGTCCCCCTCCTCCCCATACAGCTGCGGAGGCCCTACCTGGCAACGGACTCGAATCTGCCTACAGCCAGGCAGATGCTTTATGGACCCCTCGTGTCTTACAGGGCAAAGACCCCAAGATGGAAGAATTCGTACCCCCAGGTCAGTACAGGTCCGTCCCAGAGGGCACGGACTGTTCAAGGGCAGGAGGGGGAGGGTCCTTTGGGGGTTGGGCATTCGGGAGAGCAGAACCGAGTGGACGCCCCCTCCTCCCCAGATGAGGACTGTCCCCTGAAAGAGGCTTCCAGCAGGAAGATCCCCAGGCTCACTGTGAAGGTAGGGGGGCTGCTCCTCACCCCGCCGCGGCTGCTCCCCGCCGTGAGGCTGGCACGATGACCCCTCTCCGCGCAGGCCCGCGAGCACTGCCTGCGGCTCCTGGAGGAGGCTCTGAGCAGCAACCGCCAGGCCGCCGGCGCCCAGGGGTGAGTGCCCGCCCTGGGCGGGGGGCTGTGAACCTCCGGAGGCGGGCTCTCCTGGGTCCTGCTCCTCTGGGCAGCAAGCCCTGGCTTGTTGGAGTGCCCCCTCCCCACGGTGTGGCCCGCAGCCCCGCCAGGGCGGGCTGGGCGGGGACTGGGGGCTGCTGGTGGCGCTGAAGGGGCCAGAAGCCCCGCCCCGGTCACTCCCGCGCGGCCCAGAAGCCCATCTGCAGCGGCCCCGTGGAGAGAGTCCGGTGGGTGCCCGGGCACCGACACCGGCTGCTCATTGCTGCCCTCAGACCTGACGTCCAGGCTGAGGCCGTGGAGCTGGAGCACCAGACATTCCGGAACGCCAAGGTGGCCAACCTGTACAAGGCCGGCGTGCTGAAGAAGGTGGGTGGGAGGGCGGGCGGCGCATCCTCCAGGCTTGGGGCAGCAGAGGGCAGCCCCCCGCGAGGCCACCTAGAGGGGAGCCAGACTTCCCTCCCTTGCCAGTGGGGAGAAATTTCCTGCAGGCCAGAGCCTGCCCCGCACCCGCACCGCGGCACCGAGGCCCCTCGTGGGAAGCCCGCTTGGGGGCTGTGGGCGCCGGAGGTGCCATCCCTGCCCGTCCCTGCCCGTCCTGTCCCAGGTGGCCGAGATCCACAGGGCCTCCAAGGACGGGCAACGGTACGACGCGGGAGGCGCTGTGCAGAGCAGCAGGCCGCAGGCCGGGCCCCTGGGGCCCAGTGAGCATGACCTCCAGCCGGCCTCCCAGGTGTACTCGGTGAGCAGACCTGGCCCAACCAGGCGCCTCTGCCCTCCGCCCTGCCTTCGGGCATCCAGCCTTGCCCGTCCCTCCTCTGCCGCTGCACCTCCGCAGCCCCGCGCTCTCCTCTCACTGGCCTCGCCCCTAACGTGTCCTGCCTGACTCCCCCCGCCCCCAAGAGCCCTGCCTCGTCCATCCCTGGAGCAGCGACTGACCTCCAGGGCCGCTGGTCAGACCCTCTCTCCTCACAGCTCAAACCCAAGCGGGTGGGCGCTGGCTTCCCCAGAGGCTCCAGCCCGTTCCAGACGGCCACAGAGCTGATGGAGAAGACGCGGGCAGTGCAGCAAGGCACCCAGCCTGAGGAAGGGGGCACACAGCCGCCCCCCGCCCGGCCCTGCGGCCACAGTGAGCCCTGCGCTGGGCCTGGAGCGGAGGCCCCTGGAAGCGGTGCTCGTGGCAGGGTGCCCACCCCTGAGAAGAAGGCGAAAGGCCCCCCTCAGGGCAGTACTGTTGCCAAGGCCCGGGCCAAGCAGCAGCAGCTTCTAGCCGCAGCTGCCCTCAAGGACTCCCAGAACATCGCCCGCTTCTTCTGCCGGCGGCCGGCGAGCCCACCTCCTCCTGCTCCCGCCCTGGGGGCAGACGGTGCCAGCCCCTGCTGGGAGGAGGTGGGGGGTGTGCTGGTGCCCTCAGAGAACACGGGCGAGGAGACTGAAGCCCCGGGACCCTTGGCTGTCCCCCTTCAGCCTGAGGCGTGCCCCGGGGAGGGGCCGAGGTGAGGGCCTAGGGTCTCGCGCTGACTGGGCTCTGCAGGGCCGCTGGGGAGAGGGGACAGCTGACGCCTGCTCTCCCTCCCTCCCACTCAGACATCCGGGAGCCCCTGAAGGCCAGCCCAGCCCCACAAAGGAGACGCAGAAGGGCAAGCGACCCAGACCCCTACAGGTGCCGACAGGGGTGAGGCCTGTGTGCGGGGGGCTCAGGCCAGGCTGCTGTCGCACTGCTCTGGGCTGGGGGTTTCTTTCCCTAAGCCCAGGGGGAATGGGGTGGGTGGGAGGGGCCGGCAGGTGCTGTGGCCCCGTCTACCAGAGGAAGGGAAGAGGCTGGTGACAGGGAGCCCAAGAGTCACCCCCTCCCATGGCCCTGGCCAGGAGCTCCCAGATTGCTGGGCTCAGAAGAGGCTTCGCCCTTCAGCCCAGGCCTCCACCTCGGCCGAGGCCCAGGGCTGCATCTCAGCATCTCAGGGTGCTTTGAACCCCGTGGCCCCCGGCTCCGGCCCATCCCTGAAGGAGGCTGCGAACGTGGTGGTCAAGTGCCTGACCCCCTTCTACAAGGAGGGCAAGTTCGCCTCCAAGGTAGGTGCTGCAGTATGGTCAGCTGCCCTGCTCTGGCTGGGTGGGCGCCCCCCGCCCTGGGCCTGGGGCACGGGGGCTATGGGTGGCAGACTGTGAGCCCGGACCACTCAGGGCAGGCTAGCCTGGGGGCTGAGCCTCGCCCGCCGCTTCTCTCACCCTCTGCCACCAGGATTTATTCAAAGGCTTCGCCCGCCACCTTTCACACCTGCTGGCGCAGCAGACCTGCCCCAGAAGCAGCGGTGAGTGCCTGCACCCGGGGCCAGGAGGCGTGGGGGGCTCTCCCAGAGGAGCTGACCTCACGTTCCCCCACCCCCCCGTGAATTCACAGTGAGGGAAGAGGCTCAGCACCTCATCCAGCAGTTTTTCCTTGGCCGGGGCCGCTGTGAGAGTGAGGCGGACTGGCTCGGCCCCCGTGATGCCCAGAGATGACGGATGCTGCCCCACGGAGCCGCATGCTCCCCGGGTCCTTCCCCGGGCTGCTGGGGCCTCGCTTGGAGTGTGCACAGGCCTGTGGCGCAGGGTCCCTCCCCCGCCAGCCGCACCTGGCGGCACGGAGGGGCCCGCCGAGACCAGAGGTCAGCATGCTTGTGCAGTCGGACCTTCTCAGAGCCTGTCTCTCTCCTGGCCCTTGCGGCTGGGTCTCTGTGCCAGCCCCAGGTCACCAGGTGGTGGGTGGTGTGGCTGCTGCCAGAACAGGAAGAAGGGGTGTCCCCCACCACGTGTGCTAAATGCGTCTTGAGCCAGGCGAGGCACTGGGGACTACTCAGGAGTGCCCCGCTGGCCCCAGGCCCCCGTCCCCGGTGGTGCTTGCTCCTTTCTGGCCCCAGGTGAGGTGGCGGCCAGGGCCTGCGCCCTGTGGCTCCTGGTCATGAGGCCAGGCGGACTCTGGGGGCAGAGGAATAAAGCCTGCTTGTTCTGACACGCGCACACCGCCCTTGGCTCTCCAGTGTTTTATTTCCCCCGCAGCTACTTCTCCCAGGCCGGGCTCCTGCTCAAACTGACAGGGCCTGGGCTTGTTGGCTAAGCCAGGTGCCCTCGGCTGCCACCCAGGCCAGGCGGCCTCACGGCAGGTCCCAGAACAGCCAAGCGGTGAAGTGCAAACCCAGCGGCCCAGGGGCTGCCAGGGCGACCTCCGGTGAGGCGCCGTCCAGGGAGAGGCCCCGCCCGGCGTCCGCCCCTCCCTGCGCCGCTCAGTGCAGCCAGGCCACTATGCGATGCTAGAGCCCGAGCCGCTGCTCCGCAGGAAGGCAATGGTGTGCTTCAGCTCCTGGGCCTGCCGGGCACGCCTGTTAGTACCGGGCTCTCTGCCCCACCGCCCCACGCCTGCGCGGGCGAGGCCCTGCCTCACCTGTGCCAGTTCCAGCCAGATAGTCTGCGGGCTTTCCGCCGAACCGTAGTGGAGCTCCAGGCAGGGGGCCTCTGTGTCGTCCAGGGGGCTCATCAGGTGGGCCCTCTGCAGGTCCTTCAGGATGATGGAGCAGCGTGGCTTCTGGGGAGCAGAGACAGAGCGGTTGGCCCTCGAGGGGAATCGGTGCTGGTGGCGGGTGAGGAGCAGCCACAGGGTGCCAGTGCCCACCTGGGAGCTGGGGTCCAGGAGGATGAGCTGCTGGCTGTTCAGCCCCAGGAGGCAGGGCCTGGGCAGGCCCGGCAGGCTCGCTCGCAGCACCACGTAGACGGTGCAGCCAAACAGGGGCAGCCGGCTCGCGGCCTCTGAGGACGGAGGCAAGGGCGGCTGTCGCTGCCTGGCCAGGGCCCTGCGGGGGGGCTTGAGCCCCGGCACGGGTGCAGGCGGCGGGACCTGGGGCCCCCACTCTCAGCCCTTGCCGGCCCCACACCCACCGATGAAGCCGATCTGCGCCTCCTGGGAGCTGTAGTCTTGTAGCTGCCTCAGCTCCAGGCCCAGCAGCCTCCTCACGGCGGCCACGTCCACCTGCTGCAGCAGCGGCTTCGGCAAGTAAGCTAGCAGGTCCTGCCTGGGCACAGCTGGACGGTCAGGGCCGGGCACACAGCAGGTGCCCAGCAAACGAGCCGGGCAGCTGGGGGTGGGCTAGGTCTGGACCCTGTCTCGAGAGGCGTGGAGAGGGCACAGAACACAGCCCGCTCCTCCAGCCCATCTGCTCAGAGCCCGACGGGAGGGGCAGGACTGGCACCCTGCCCCGGGACCTTGGAGGAGGGAGCCCTGGGACAGGCGCCCAGTCGGGCCTCAGCATCCAGAGGGACAGGGGTGGTGGGCAGTCCGGGCAGCGCCTGGACTCACTCTGAGGGGGAGTCCTTGTGGGCCTTGCTGAGGTGCTGTAGGGCGGCCAGCCTGGCCAGCTGGGCTTCCTCCCGGGCGCTCACCAGCAGCTTCCCCTGCAGGTAGTCCCACAGCACCTGAAGGGGGAGAAGTGAGGGGAGTGGTGTCCCGGGCCCCTGCCGGGCCCCTGCCGGGTGGTGGCTCCCAGGGCGCAAGCCTGTTCCCCCACCACCCCTTGGGGGCAGGGAGGCCTGGGGCCCTCCAAGCACAAGGACCAACCTGCCTGTAGTGGGTGCTGACGTAGGTGGGGTTCTCATAGTGCAGCTGCGTCTCCCAGGAGAGCCTCCTGCAGTGCAGACTTGCGCCCGGCCCCAACACCTCACAGTTGATGTATTCTCGGGGCCACAGGGGCCGCACCAGCGGGCCTGCAGGGCAGCCGGTGCTTCAGCTCGCCCAGCCTCTGCCCAGCCTGCCCTGGCGCAGAGGGCCCCTGCAGAGGCGGCCACATCCCTGTACCCAGCCTGGCCCCACCCACCCCACCCACCTCCCACCCAGGCAGGTGCTCACCTTCTTTGATGAGGAAAAGGGCAAATTCCTTCACTTCCTGGGGGTCCAGGATGTCCATCTTTCCACACAGCTCCTCCAGCACTTCGGCCACCACCTGGGCATGTGGACAGGGCCCCAGTGGGTCGGGGCCGGCCTAGGGCCTCTCCACCATGGAGGCCCATGATCTCTCTGTCTCCCCGGCCCCTCCCCTCACCGTGAAAGTCTGGACGGTGGTCTTGTAGTCCATGCCCCCGGGCAGGTGGATCAGAAGCATGCGGGTCATCTGCCCTTTCTGCAAGGTGCAGTCCATCAGTCACCCCACCAGGGGACCCGCCCTGCCCCCCCATCCCCACCCCGGGCTGTCCCAGTACCAGGAAGGCCTGCATTTCTCCCGGAGAGGGCAGCCGCTGGCGCCCCCCATACTTCACAGTTTGCTGAAGGTGCTTCTGGCTGCTCTGGGCCAGCTCTGCAGAGAGAAGCCAGGCTGGGGCCGGCTCTCCAAACCCCACTAGGTCTCCCCAACCCGGCTGGAGGGCCTCCCATGACACCTTCGCTCTGGCATGCCTCCTGCAGGAACATGGTCACGTAGGGCATCAGCTTGTTTGACGGCAGGAAGAAGCCAGTGAGGAGGCTCAGGAAGCTCCAGCCCCTGGCACAGTGCTCCCTGCAGGGCAGAGAGCCTGGGCTTCAGGCCGGGCAGACCCCAGAGCCCCCATCCCTGCACTCGCGCCCTGGCCCCCACACTCACGGCCGGGGGTGTCCTGTGACCTGCTTGATGACCTGGCAATAAATCTCATCCCTGAGTTCCTCCTCCTGACACAGCTAGGAAACAAGGAGGGCAGTTTCTGACCAGGGGCGAGGGGGTGGGCGGCGATGTCGGGGGGAGCCTGTTGGTCATGGGCTGGGGGCCCAGTGGGGGACCCCAGGAGGCAGACGCCTCTCGGCTGCAGTCTTGCCTGGACCTGGGCGCTGCTCTCAGCCCTGCCCTCCCCACCGGCCCCGTCTCAGCGCCGTCTGCTGGCTCTGCCCGCAGTGCCCAGGCCTCGACTACACGTACCCGCGGCGCCTGCCTCCAGCCCAGACGACCCCCTTGAGCCCTAGCCCCTCAAATCCAGCTTCCGATCTTTACATGTGCGGAACAGTCCGCGCCACTCCCCGCCAGCCCGGCCTCGCCCCCAGGGCTTCTCTCTCTCCCTCCAGCCGCTGCTCTCCCGGCTGTGACCTCTGGCCCTGGCCTGCACCTCTCCCCGGGGGGGTGGGGGGGGACACGGGACACGAGGGCCTGCAGGTGCAGGCCATGTTCTCCAGTGCCTCCGTGGCTTCCCCTTTTCGCTCAACCGTGACCTGGTCCGCGCCCCTCCCTCTTCATGCCCGTCCCTGACAGGTGCTGGGGCTTGTGTCCTGCCAGGCCTCAGCACCCCCGCCCCGCAGCAGGCCCCCAGAGGCACCCGGCGTCCCTCACGCTGCTCCTGCGTCACTGTCACTAGCCTGCTGCCAGTGGCAGCCTCTCCCCGCTGTCCTCGTCCACAGCCCTTGCTGCTGGCCACATTAACCAGGGTCTGCCAACTGCCCCACTCCGTGGACACCCTGGCCCTGCAGGTAGCAGGTGCTCCCTAAAGACTTTGAGGTGACTGGAAGGAACATGACCAAGGGAAGGGGGGTCCCATTCAGACCCCGGCAGGAGGAACAGGCCCAGGGCCTACGGTGCCCCCACCCCGCTTTTCACCTTTAGCAGCTCATAGACGAGGCCCATCTCGTCCTTGCCTCGGGGCTTAGGCTGGTCCCCCATGAACTGCATCAGAGCTGCGGGCAGGAGAAGCCGGTGAGCAGGCCCAGGGCCTGGCCCCGGCCCAGCCCCACCGCGCACGCCTGCCGTCGCAGGTCGCGCTCAGAACCACGCGTGAGCGGGCAGAGCGGCCGTTTGCAGCGAGGAGACCGGGCCTGCAGGAGCTGTGGGCACCCACGGCCACCTACCACCGCCTCCCCCCAAGACGCTACACAGCCCCCTCCCCTGCCCTGCGGGCTGGCGAAGTGGCCACAGGCCACGGAAGCACCAGTGACCCCGCCTGCGTCGGCAAACGCCGGGCGAGAAGGTGGCAGGCGCCAAGGCGCGGGCTCGGCAGGCGGTGCGGCACTCACCCTGGAAGCCCTCCACAGCCCGTCTGTCGGTGTCCTCGTCATCGAAGCTGATGAGCGACTGCAGGATGGGGGCCTGCCGCCAAGAGGCCGGGCTGAGTCTGGGCGGAGGGCCGTGTGCCCGCCGCGGCTCGGCCCGCCTGCCCAAAGCCTCACCTTGCTGTACCGTACCAGGCTGGCCGCGCCCTTCCCCTCAGCGCCTTTGTCTCTCGGGCCCAGCCTGAGGGGCAGAGGGAAGGGCAGCGGGTAGCCGAGCCCAGGTCCAGCCGGGGCGTGTGGGAGGCCCCTGCAGGGAGGCCAAGGGCAGACAGGCACTCACAAGGTCTGGGGCTTCCGGAAGGCCTTCAGGGCAAATTCCTGCATGGTATAGCGGTGGGGGTCCCCGGGAAGAGAGAGGGAAGGGGGCAGGCTGGCGGCCTCTGAGTGGTCACTGTGGGTCTGGATGGAGAGGCAGGCGGGGTCCTGGGAGCACAGGAGGCCCGCTGCCACGGGAGCCCCGCTGCCCCCCGCCCCCGCCGGCCCGGCCCCGCCTGCGGGACGGTGAGTGAGCAGCCACTGGCAGCAGACAACGTCAACAAGTGTTTATTGAGCACCTGCTAGGGCGGCACTGAACTGAGTGGCGCAGGGACACAGGAGGAGGCGCCGTGCGGCCTGCCCGCAGCGAGGCCCCAGTCTGGCGGGGAGGCGGGCGAGGCCACAGCGGGCAGAGGCAGCGTCGGCCCAGCGCTGCGCGGGGAGAGGCCCTTTCCTTCCGCCGCGGCTAATTCGGCCTGGCCTTGTCGGCCTGGCTCACCTCCGGCGCCTTGTGCCTCTGAGCCAGCCCTGGCTCCCTGCTCTGTGACCGTGACTGGCTCCTGTGCAGGCCAGTCCTCTGCCCGGACGAGAAGGAGAAGTCGGGAGCCGCGGCCGGTTGCACCATGTCCGTGGGAAAGAGTCCAGAGTGGCCCCCGGTCGAGCCGAACTGCCAGCCTGGAAGGCAGCCAGGGGCGAGGCTCACCACCCGGCTCTCGGCCTCCCAGGGCCCCTGCGCTGCCCTCCCGGTGCCGTCCACCCGCTGGCCCCCCGTGACACCTGGCTCCAGGCTGGCCACTGGCAGCAGCTTGATGAGGTCCCCGCGGTGGAAGCTGAGAAGGCTGCACTCGTCGGTGATGTAGCTCCTCAGGGCAATGACATAGCCGGAGTCCTGCAGGCCGGTGGGTGAGTGGCCCGAGCCGCCCGCCGGCCTCATGCTCCGACCAAGTCAAAGGACCCAGCCTGAGCCCCATCCCAGCTGCCACCGGCAGCTCAGGGTGCTTGGCTGACAGCCCCAAGAACAGCCACGCCAGGGGCCTGCATGACGCCCCAGGAGGCCCCAGGCCCGCGCTTGCCTTTGTGAGCTCTCGCAGGAACAGGTCAACCATGGCCTTGATGGTGCCCGCCCGGGGCGTGTGCAGCACCAGCTGCTCGCTCTTCAGTGCCAGCACCAGGCTGGAGCTGCTTGGGCACTCCACACCCAGCACCTCTGCGAAGCTGTGGGTGGGGGCGTGAGTGAGTGGGGGTCGGCTCGCCGCCTGCCTGCCCCCCCCAGCCCCAGCTCACCTGTATGAGCAGAGAACCTTCAGCTGGTTGGGGTGGGGGCCGGAGCCCTGGGTCACCTTGAGCAGCCTCAGGCCGCGGTGCGACACCCCCAGCAGCTGCACGTTGCTGCCGCTCTCGCCCTGCCGGAAGGTGGGCGGGTCACGGACCGGCCCTGGTGCCCACTGCCGGCCAGGCCAAGGGGAGGGGAGCGCTCTGTCCTTCCGCTAGAGCCCCGCCAGCCCCCAGCCCGCAGCCCCCAGTAGGAGGCCTGCGTGTGAGCGTGGCCCTGCCACACTCTACAGACCGAGACGGGGAAGATGCGGGAGAAATAGTTGGCCCAGTTGTCCCTGGCGGCGATCACGATGCGCTTCTTGACGCTGTCCTCGACAGTGTGGAGCCACTCCAGGCCCACCTCCAGGTCTCCTGCGGGAGGGCGGGCCCAAGGTCTCAGGCTGCCTCGCAGCAGGCACCTCAGAGCCCGGGCCCACTCGGCAGGCCCCAGCAGCCCGGCCAGCCTGAACATACCCAGCAAGTCTTTCATTCTGTGCCTCTCCTCCTGGGAGATCCGGACGCAGGATTCAGCGAAGGTGTCTCGAACGATCTGGGGCGGAGCCAAAAGGTCACCCAGGTCCTAGGTGGGCATCTGCACAGCTGGCCCCGCGCGGGTGGGACGGGCAGGACAGGACCTCCAGCCCCGGCCACGTCAGCCCAGAGCGCCCGCCGCCCCGTGCCCTGCATGGGCTCAGTGAGATAAGCTTCCCCAAGAACCAGAACTGGGGGGGGGGGGTCTGGAGCATCCAGGGGAGCAGAGGCGGGATCCGGGGCATCTCCAGAGGTGACAAAGGAGCAGCAGCCGGGAGCACTGCTGCGTGCAAAGCTGTGTGCACCTGCCGAACGCACTTTATCTGTGGTCCTGTCACGGGCCCATCGGGGACCTGACTGCTGGGCTGTTGTGTGGCAGGAAGGGCTGGAAACCCACAAGTGCCCTACACCTGGCTGGACGGTGCCCTCCTGTGGCTGTGAGCCGGCTCGGTGCGCGGGGTGGGGGCGGGCGCTCACCTGCTCACAGAGGAGCCTGAGGCAGTAGGGGTGGCTGAAGTTCTCCCGGGGGTAGAAGACCTGTGGAGGAGGACATTGCGGGGGTGGGGCAGTGGCCTGGCCTGTCCTCCCTGGCCTGGAAGGGTTGGGGAAGAGCTGGGTCCCCGGTGCTGCCCCCACCCCGCCCTCGCGCCTACCTCCTTGCGCAGGAATAGCTTCCAGGGCGGGCTGGCGTAGGAGAAGCTCACGCTGCCGGAGGGCACAAGCATCTGGGTGGAGACACCCTGGTCCTCCATGGGCCCCCTCAAGACTGGCAGAGGGAGGGGCCAAAGAGCATCAGGGGAGGAGCCACCAGGCCTGAGAGGACAAGGTGTGGCCTGCTCCTGCCTCCGCCCACCGCCATCCTGACTGGCCTCCAATGTTCCCTGCCGGGCGTGGCCCTCCCTGGCAGTGGTGTGGCCCTCCCTGGCAGTAGTGTGGCCCTCCCTGGCAGTAGTGTGGCCCTCCCTGGCAGTGGTGTGGCCCTCCCTGGCAGTGGTGTGGCCCTCCCTGGCAGTGGTGTGGCCCTCCCTGGCAGTGGAGCCACTGCATTCCTGAAGGAGCTGTCAAGTCTGACCAGGGCAACACCCTGTGTGTGACAGCCCCAAGTGCCAGACTGGCCCCTGGGTGTCCAGGCCCTGCCCTAGGCAGGAATGTGCAAGCGGACTGCAAAGTCCAGAAGCCGGAGCAGCTGGCCTTGGCCACGAGTGCCCGGAAGCTGTCAGGTGGGGATTCTCCCCACTGGCCCTGGGCTCCTCACCTTGGGGCTCGGTGGCAGGCTGCGCTGGGAGCTCTGGCGGAGGCAGTGGAGGCGGGGGAGGAGGGGGGGCCTGGGCAGCGGATGGGGCCGGGCCAAAGAGATGCTGAAGGGGTCCCTGCTTCTCCTTGATGGAATTGGAGAGCCCCAGCTGTCGTGAGGATTTGGGTCGAGGGGCCACAGCTGGCGGGGGGCCCTTCCCTGGGCCTGGGGACAGAGGCTGGGGAGGCACAGAGATGCACACAGGTGAATCTCGGGACTAGGCCAAGGTGACCCGAGTCTCGGCCCTGGCAGGACAGCTGCTGAGGCCCGCAGGCCACCGGAGGGGCCTCACCACAGGGGACGAGGGGGACCCGTTGATCCCCAGCTTCGCCAGAGCCTCATCCTTAGGGTTGCTTTTCTTCAGGAAAGTTCTGACGGGCTTCCTGGAAGAAGACAGAGGCCATGAGCCCACGGGGTGACTCCGCAAGGGGCGCCGAGGAGGCCCCGCCGTCCCCAGCACCTGGGCGGCTGCACCGGCATGGGCGCGGGGGCCGGGCGGCTCTGGTACATGCGGATGATGTTGCGGATCTCCCTGCTGGGCGCCTCCCGTGGCGCGGCCTGCGTGCTGCTGCGCACCACCGCGGGGCCCCGCCCCGGCCCCTTCTCCCCGGCCGGCTCCACCTCAGCTTCCCGGGCAGCTTTGGCCCCAGCTCGGGTGGAAGGCTTCTTCGCCACGGCCACGGGGGGAGGAGAGGGGGGGCACCCTGACCAGGAGGAGAGAAGACGTGAGCCCGGATGGGGGTGGGGGGGACGGGCCCTGCCCGCCCAGCGCCCCAGCACCTGCTCTCGAGTGCTGCTGCTCCTTGTCCTCGTCCTCGGCCTCGGCCTCGGCCTCGGCCTCCTCCTCCTCCTCCTCCTTCTTCTCCTGCTCCTTCTCCTGCTCCTTCTCCTCTTCCTCCTCGTCCTCCTCCTCCCCGGTCCCCTGGGGGATCTGCACCTTGCTGGGGGGCTTCATGATCTTCATCTTGAACTGCGGCTGCCCTGCAAGTGCCCCAGAGGCCCTGGTGGTCACTCTCCGCCTGGCCACCCACCCAGGCTCCCGGACAGGGTCGCCCCGCCACGTGTCCTCACCCATATTCTGGAAAAATTCGCGTTTCTGCTGGAAGCTCCTGGGCTTGCGGGCTTTGGTCTCCAGCGGGGTCTCCTGTGACAGGAAAGGAAGTGAGGCCCCCCGCCCCCGCCCAACAAGGTGCCGCTCTGACCGCGAGCCCCGGGATGGCTGGGGCTGGGACCTGCTGTTTCTCAGCGTCTTCCGCAACCGCCACTGTGTCTCCCACCCTGCTGCCCTCGCCCTCTGCCCGCCTCGGCGCCCCCACAGCTGCCTGGCACCCACCCATTCCAGCTCCCGCTCTGTCTCCTCTTGAGAGATTGAAGGCTTCTTTAACTTGGGGTTGATGGTCTTGGACTTGGGGTGGATAGTTGGGGGTGGGGCCGAGAAGTCTGCCTCAGGAGCCTGCGCTGGGGCCTGTGCCGGGGCCTGCACCGGGGCCTGGGCCTGTGCCGGGGCCTGCACCGGGGCCTGGGCCTGCGCCTGCGCCTGGGCCCGGGCCTGGGCCTGGCGCTGCTGCTGTGTCTGCTGCTCCAGGGAGAGGCTCATGGCCTGGGTGGTCATCTGCTGGGCCTGAAGCGGGAGGGGTAGGTGGGATATACGTGGCCTGCCTCTGTGCCCCAGGCCCATGAAGCAGCCCCGGGGGGACGGGGGAGGCAGCTCCTGCCCTCACCAGGATCAGCGCCTGCTGGTTGATGAAGTTCTGCTGCTGGACGGCCAGCTGCCTCGTGTCCAGGCTGGGGAGCAGGGGTGGTGGCGCCTGCTGCGGTGGCATCACCATGGCTACGAGAGTGTGGCACGGGTGGGCAGGGCGGTGAGCACCACGCTGAGCCCACAGCCTGCTGTGCCCTCTGGGGCACTGGCAGGACCGCCCCTTCTATGGTCCCTATCTGTGAGGGGCCCTGGTGCCTCCCTGTCCAGCTGTACCTGGCATCATGGGCATAGGTGCAGGCATCATGGCTGGCTGGTATCCGGGCATCTGCATCATCCCTGGGTACACTGAGGGAATAGGGCCCTCCCAGGTCAGTCCTAGGGGGGCTCCGAAAATGCATCCCTTCAGCCCCAGCCAAAGGGACGCATATCTGCCCCCAGGGTGCTGGGCTGGGGGGCCTGGCTGGGCGCTCAGCTCACTCACCCATGGGGTAGCTGCCCGGCTGCATGGGCCCCATGGAGCCCCCGCCCTTCATGCGGCCGCTCAGAGCCCAGCCTTGCTCCAGATCCTGAAGGGACAAAGGCCACAGATCACAGGGTCACGCTGAAGGCCTGGGGGGCGGGATGTGTGGGGGATACTCACGCTGTGGCCTGGGGAGAAGACTGACTCAAAGAGGTTGTCCACGAAGCCGTCCAGACTCCCTGGGGCCCGGTGCCCGCCTGCGCCAGAGATCAGTGTCACTTGCCTGGGTGACAGCTCCCCTGTTCCCAGCACTCTGCCAGCCGAGCGAGTCCGCTCTGGCCTTACCTGTGTGACCACTGCCAGGCAGCGGTGGGGCTGGACCTGGAGGGGGGCCTGGAGGCAGTGGTGGGGCCTGGACGTTGGGGGCGGGGGGGATGTCCTTGGCTCTGCAGGAGACAGTGGGCCAGATAAGATGGTGCCCAGGCTGAGACAAGGTGTAGAAGCAGCTATGGGGTTGTCCGAAGGGGGTGGGAGGAGACTTAGGGGGAGGGATGCGGCCATGGCAGCACCTTTGACCCCGGAGTGCTCCAGGGCAGGGGTGGGAGCAGCCCAGGAGCAGTGATTCTGGGACGGGGAAACCTACGAGTCACGAGGAGCGATGGGATAGCTGTGGGGCTCAGTCGGGTCCCCCGGGTCCTCTATCTGGCCAATCAGGTCCAGGACAAAGTCACAGCCAGTCAAGTCCTGCCAGGAATCCCCGGAGTGCAGTGACACGGACCAGCCACGGGGGGGCACCTCCAGCCCTCTGGGTGTCACAGGTGCACAGTAAGAGTCAGCCAGGCAGATGACCATGGTGGGGGAGGGGGCAGGGTGGTGGTGGGGGGGCTGTGGAAGGGGAACCTGGGAAAGGAGCAGCCTGCGCGGTGCTCTGACAGCCCAGCTCTCCTGAACTAGCACCTGATATACCTTTTCCTGAGACACTCTCTGATGCTTGTCAGTATGGACCAAGAATCTGGACCTTGGGTATAATCTCTACTCCTGCCCTCCTTGAAACCACTGTCTGCACTCTGCCCACTGGCTCCCACCGCTTGCCCCTTGCACCCCACATCCCCCCTTTGAGAGAGCATGGCCTTGCACCTACAGAGGCAGCTAGCTGCAGGAGGGGCATGCAGACCCGTGGGGAGGAGGATGAGGGTCCATCTGGCCGGCCCCTCCCCTCCCAGGCCCCCATACCTGCTCTGCAGGATCCACCCAGCAAACTGCTCTCCTGTGGTCCAGGACTCCACTTCCGCTGAGTAGCATTCCTCTGTGGGATTAGAGGTGCGGGGAGGGGGGCGAGTGAGGGACAGTAGGACCCTGACAGCAAGGGGCTGTTGTCCTTGGGGAGTAGGAGGCCCAAAAGCAGGCTAGAGGGGAGATCAGGGTCACAGAGGGGGCGCAGCAGGAGGGCTGAGGGGGGGAAAGCAAGGGGCAGGCCTGGCTCCTCTGGGGCCCAGGGAGGCTAAGCGGGGGATGGGCGTCACCGTGGAAGGTGAAGACATCCAGGGCCATGCGGCCTCTCCGCCATCCCGCGGTCCACTCGAGCTGGGTGGGAGGGTGGGTCCGTTTGGCCCCAGGGGCCCACTGGACCTGCTCCAGAGCCCCCAGCAGTTTGTGCTGGCACAGCGCGGCCATGCCCCTGGGCGCTTGGTCCGACACAAACCTGCAGGGACAGCACAGGACTGTTGTAGGGGCAGAGTGTCTGCAGACCCTGCCCACTGGGCCCCGCCCCCCCCACCCCCTGGCCCCTTACTTGAGCAGTGGCTTCTGCAGGGTGGGCCTGGGGGGAAAGGCACTGAGCAGGACGGCCATGAGGGCCCAGCCGCGCTGGCTTTGCTGCTCATCCGGGTTGTGCCAGAGCTGGGCCACCAGCTGGCTGAAGAGCTCATCCCGCAGCCCTGGCCGGCGCTGCCCCTGCCGCACCAGGTACGCACCCAAGGTCTTCTCCTGCCAGGGTAGCAGGGACCCGTCCCGCAGGAGCCACAGCATCTGGAGGCACAGGTCAGGTGAAGGCAGGACATGTGGCCAGCCAGCTCAGGAGACCCAGCCCGGGCCTGCCCTGCCCCATCCCCAAGGTGATCACTCACCACCTTGTTGATGTCCAAGGCTTGCTGGGGGTTTTCACCATCCAGCTGGGTCAGGGGCTGGGTCAGCGTCTGCCCAGGGCTGGGCAGGAACGGCTCCTGCAAGGAAGGAGGTGACCTGCACCTGAGCGGGCTGGTCTGTGCAAAACCCAGGGGCAGTACAGGCTGAGGGTGGGAGGGGCTGGCGTTCGCCTCTTAAAAGAGCATCTTCGTTGCTCTTCCCGATTAAAGAACTGTTGGCCGCGCCTGTAGGGAACTCAAAGTACATGGAAGAGGAGACAGCAGAAGGTCCACAGTGAGCGAGCACACCAGGGATGACACCTCAGCTTCCCTCACCAGACTCTGAGCGACCACTGTGCTGTTGGCTGCAGTCTGCGGCGCCCTGGGGTCCCTCCCTGGCAGGGGACCGAGCCCACCGCTGCGGCAGCTCGCAGTGCTGCGCTTGAGCCCTGCGCCCCGGGGAGGCCCGTCTGCGCCGTCTGGGGTCCGCCTTGCATCCGACACCGACACAGCTGTTTCCTTTGCTCTAACGACACGACTGAGTGACAGGGCGAAGCTAAGGGGTCGCGGCACCGTGGCACCAGGCTACACTAGCCCGTGAGGCGCTGAGGTAGAGGGCCGTTTTCAGAGCCAGGCAGCTGCACCGCAGCCCCAGCAATGGGATGGGGGGGGTGGGCAGAGAGGAGGTGGCACTGCTTCTCAAGGCGCCGTGGGGGCTACCCTTGAGGAACCAACCACAGGGTTCAACCAAGGAGCGGAGGCCGGTGGAGTCTCACCTGAAAGCTGGTGGAGATGAAGCTGGAGAAGGGAAAGTTGTCGATGTCCGGCGGAAGGGCCAGGTTGGGCCGGGCGGGCACTTCTGGAGGCATGGACTCGGTGATGCTCTCGGTCAGAGAGTGCTGGGAGTCTGTGGACAGCCCCAAGACATCCCAGAAACTCCAGATGAGTCCTTCCCTCCCATTAGCCCAGAGGGGGCCCAGCAGCAGGCTCGGGGGAACCCAGGGCACCGTCAGAGCCACAGGGCAGACGCCCGCAGGGAGGCGGGCTCATGGCAAGCGCAGGGCACCGAGCACTCACATTCCGCCTTCTGCAGCATGACGGCCAGCTCGGCCGGGATCTCCAGGCACCCCAGCTCCTACAGGGGAGCAAGTGAAAAGTACCGCGGTGGGGTGAGGCAGCCCAGAGAGCTGCTCACCCCCAAGCTATAAACTCCCCACCAAGGGGTCTAGACATTCAAACAAACAGGGGCTGTTTGTAACCAAGGGCACCCCATCCTCTTCTCTGAAGACACGACGCCCCCGAGGGACAGGACCCAGTGGTCCCCCCGGACCCACACTGTCCCTCAAGTCCAGTTCGGACGTACCAGTGGACACCCCTCCAGTGTCCAGGCCACCTACCATGCTTGGCATTCTTTCAGCCATCCCACCGCTGTGCCTGGGCTGCTGGGGGAGACGCAGGAAGAGCTGATACCTCACGAATGGTCCCCGAGCCTCAACAACTCAGCTGCCCCTTTCTGCCCTTGGTGAGGGGTGGACCCCAACACCAGCAGAGAAGCAAGCACAAACCCCTCTGCCTCACCAGCCTCAGTGCTGTGGCGTCACTGCCGATCTGCCAGGGTACCGGGAAGTGGGCAGGCAGAAGGTAAGGAGTGGTCCAGGGGCAAAGTCTAGAGGGAGGGGCTGGTGAGCAGCATGTGGGCATGACCTTCGAGCCGCTTTATGGCCCTGCAGCTGACGTCATCAGGCCAGCGAGGGGAGTGGGTGGGCCCCTGGGAAAGGTTGGTGGGGAAGCGAAGGCAGCCGGGGAGGGAGGGGCCCGCCAGGGACCACACAGAGCACCTGCGCGGCCCACCGGCCCGGCTTCGCCCTGAGCACCCAGTGCGGGGGCACCCAGCCTGCACCTGCAGCTCCTGGCGTCTCCGGAGCAGGGGTCGGGCCACCAGCAGGATGGTGTTCAGCTGCCCCAGGGCTGCCCGCCGCCGCAGGTATCGCTTCCTGAGGGTAAGGAAGCATGAGGGGCCGCTCTGGCCCCAGGACCCTCCAGCCAGGACGCGTGGGAGCTGCCCCTGGGCCCGGCAGTCACAGGAAAGGGCAGGCCACTCCGAGCAGGCCGAGGGCTACCCAGGGGCCGGGAGCACAGACCCCGCAGCACAACTGCCGACGCCCCGTCCCCCTCGTTCACTCGTCTGTCTCCCTGCGCCACTGTCCGAGTCACGTGATGTCAGAGAAGTGACTTCACCTGTGTTTTAGTCTTATCACCTGTAAAATGAGGATCACGGGCGCACCTGCCCACCGTCAGGCCCAAGGAATAAACAGATAGAAGCAGCAGGATAGAAAAATGACAAAATACCATCACTGGAACTCTCATAGGAGACCGCAGAAGGGACAATGCTCAAAGAAAATGTCAGGATGGGGGGCTTCCCTGGTGGTGCAGGGGTCTCAGTGCTATCGAGCTGTCTGCAGCCACTGCAACACAAGTTCAATCCCCGGCCAGGGAGTGACCCACAGGGCGCAGAGATCCCTGCTGTCAACCCGCTGCTCCCTCAGCAGTGGGTTTCAGTCAGTCTGCCTGTTCTGCTCCCCGCTCTGTCTCTGGGGAGTCCTCTCACCAGAAGATGAAGGTGGATCCCACTCCCCACCCCCCGCACCTCTGGGCTGTACCCCAGTTCTGCCATGCATGAATAAGTAAAATAAATTTAAAAATACAGAACAGGCAAGTACATAGAGACAGTAGGCTGGAGGCGACCCGGCGGAGAGCAGGAGCCACAGTCCTGCTGAAGGACATTCCAGCAGCCCTCCCGACTACACAGCAGGGGCCCAGCAGCCCCGGGCGGCCTAGGTGCCCATTGCCAGATGTCCAGGACTGTGAGAGTGCACTGTACGAAGCTCACACCACGGAACCCCCCAGGCAGTCCTTCCCAGAGCCCGTCCACGTCATCTGGGGTGACCACTGCTTAGGGTCATGGTTTCTGTTGGTGGAGACTGGTGGCAGCATTTGGAGACAGCAGCGAAGACAGTCACCCCCCGCGGGCTCCCGGGTGTCCACTGCACTGCCCTCATTTCGCTCTCAGCACTTTAACCATCACTTTTGGGGTGACTGACTGGCGGCTGGCTGATTGTCTGCATCTGACTACCCAGCTGGCCTGGGACACCCGTTTCTGCCCTCACCCCAGTAACGTAGGGCGGCTAGGTCAGCCCCGAGAGCTGTTGAATGAATGGGCCAAATACACCGGGACAGGCGAACAGAGGGAGCTGAGCAGGGAAGCAGGAGCGAGACGTTCAAAGAGCCCCGAGTGTAAAATTCTGGCCTAAGCGGAGGCTGAAGAAGAGCAGAGCTTAACAACCTGAGTCATGCTTTGAAAAGCTTGTTCTTGCTACGCAGTGGAGAACAAACCAGAAAAGAAGACACTCAAGGGGTGAGACTGCAGGGCTCGTGTGGCCTCAGCAGGTAATGAGTGAGCATCTCATGACGGGAGCAGTCAGGCAGCCTGGTGCTGAGGGGACGGGAGGCCTGCCTTGGGACCCTGCATCTCCCTGAGCTTGTCCCCACCCTGAGGAGGCCCGCAGTCTCACCCCACCCCTGCAGACCTGGCCTGGAGCCCGCGCACCCTCGCTTGCATCCGGGGCAGGAGGCGGAGGCGCTGGCGGGACAGGCAGGTGCGGAGGCCGTGGTGCAGGATGAGCAGGGCCTGGGCGCGCCGCTGGGCCCGCTGCTGCTCCAGCTGCTGCCAGCCCGACACCTGCAGCAGGACCTGGGGGCAGAGGCTGGGGCTGGGGACACTGGCAAAGAGGCCAGGGCTGGGCCTCAGCCTCCTCCCTTCCAGCCAGACAGTGGAGCCCCTGGGCCCCGGACACCCGCCACCCAGCACTGCTCCATCTCCCCACCCCCCGAGGGTCCACCAAATCTGGAAGCCCTGTGCTTCCCAGAACACTCCTCTCCCTCCCCACCCCCGCCCCTGCACACGCACATCTACCTGGGTGACGCCCAGGTGACAGAGGGCTGACTCGGGCCCCAGCACCTGACTGAGGATGGCGCCACACCTCTCCCGGTCAGAGGCATCTCCCTGCCCCTCCGTCCCCAGGGTCCGGAACCTGCCCCAGGACAGTGAGGTGGGCACAAGAACGGCACCTCCATCTGTTTGACACCCCAAGCCCATGGGTCTCGGTTCAGTCTCTAAGTCACTCAAACAACTCTGTGCCAGGACCTAGGAGACTCTTCTGAAGGGAGGGGGAGAGGGTTCAGGGTGGCATGGAGGGTGGAGGGTCATGAGCAGTGGAAGGAGAAGCAGGGAGAAGGTGCTAGGCCCGAGTTCCTGGGAAAGGGGGTCTGCCAGTCACTCCAGGGCCTTCCTGGTCAGCTTCTGCCCGAGGCCCCTGGACCTTGGCTGCCCCATCCTGAGGCCCTACCTGGCCAGGAAGGCCTGGAAGAGCATGCGCACAGGGAAGTTGATGCTGCGGGTACAGATAGTCTCCAGGACGCAGGCCTGGTGCAGCTGCTCGGCCACGTGGGCCACATCAAAGAGGCCCGGGAGCTGCAGCGGTGGGACAGGGCGCGGGCGCTGGAGTCAGGCAGGGCCCGAGGCTGGGGCCGGGCAGGGCAGCAGGGCAGGAGGGTTCTGGGGCCAGGTGCAGGGAACTCACCTTCCCAGGGTTTGGGTTGAGGCACTGGATGAAGTGGATGTGGCTCCTGATGGACAGGAGGGGGGGTCACCTGGGCACAGGCCAGACCTCACCCAGAGCTGGGGCATGGGGGACATTGTTCTCACCTGCCCAGCTGGGCTAAGAGGTCCCCCAGGGACTGCAGGCAGCCAGAGGCCAGCGTAGGTTTGCCTCGAGGGCCCCCGGGCCGGGGCTCTGCTTCCTGGAACAGGCTGCCCACCAGCTACAAGGCGAGAGGAGCCTGCTCCCACACACTCCTGGGAGCGGGGTGAGCCAACCCAAGGCTCCAGCCCCACAGCAGGAGGCGCACCCACCCAGGACACGGGCAGATGCGGGAGAATGGAGCGTGGGAGTCGGGGTCACCTGCAGCTGGCTCTGGGCAAGCATCCCCACTACAGCTGGGTCGAGATGATCCCGGTTTCTATTTAAAAACTTGTGCGCCTGCAAGAGACAACGAGAGGTGCGGGAGTGGGGCGTCGGCTGGGTGTCGGGGCCTCTCCGCCTGAGTCAAAAGGCTGCCTGCCTCTTCAACGGGGAAATGCACATGAAAAAGAACGAGCTGGGCTCTCACCTCATCAAATAGAAAGATGAGCTCGAATGAATGGATCAAAGACCAAAATCTAACAGCTAAAACAACACCTCTTGCAGGAGAAAACTTGAGAGTGAAAGCTTTGGGTTTGGCACTGAAGCCAATGCCAGACGCATCGCAAGCAGAAAAAAAAATTGAGAAATTGGACTTCACGACACCCAGGTCGCCGTGCATCCAGACAGCATTCGAGGGAGCAGAAAAAGAAACTCCCACGGAAGGGGAGAGAATATCTGTGAATTACTCATTGCTGAGTGAATACAATCCAGATGATGTGAAGAATTCCTACAACTTGGGAACTGACATTTCCCCAAGACGTGCAAGCAGCCAAGACCCACCGCAAAGACCCTCAGCATCATCGGTTCTTAGCGGAAACATGAATGACCAAAACCTCAGTGTCATCTAGGCATCCCACCACAAGGATGACTACGACTTAAAAATCCGAAGAGGGGCTCCCTGGTGGTGCAGGGGAGAGTCTCAGCACTATGAAGCTGTCCCCAGCCCCTGCAGCACGAGTTCGATCCCGGCCAGGGAGGGACCCACAGAGCGCAGCAGACCTTTCTTGTCTTTCTTGTCTCTCCCGCTGCTCCCCTCAGCAGTGTGTTTCAGTGTTTCAGAGCCTGTTCTGCTCCCCACTCTGTCTCTGGTGAATCCTCTCACCCTCCACACCTCTGCCTGTACCCCAGTTCTGTATTTATAAATAAATAAATCTTTTTCCAAGAAAGGATAAGAACCCCAGGGTCAGTCCAGTCATAATGCTGACTTAAAGGGGAGCCACCGCCCCGCAAGCCAGTGAGTGTCCCAAGTATGTATCAGTAGGCAGCGCCAGACTCAGGACAGGGTGCGTGTGTTATGATGCCACCTTGGGAGATGCCTAGAATAGGCAAGTTTAAAGAGACAGAGTACTTAATGGGCAGAGTTTCTGTCTGGGATGATGGAAAAATCTGGAACTGCATAGTGGTGATGGTCGTACAACATTGCCAGGGATGTAGATAAATTCACTTAAGTGTATACTTATATGGTCAAAATAATAAATTTCAGGTCTATTTTATGACTTCCTTCCAAGGCCTCTTAAGTGTCTGCTTTCTATATATACCTTTGGGTCTGTTACTGGACTTTCAACTCTATTCCACAATGTGTCAGTTTATTAGTGACACACAGTGACTAGAGCAAACACCTCTCTCTGGCATTTCTTTTCCAGACAGTGATTCAGGGTAATTTTGTTGAAACCCTTCCCGTCTTCTCATAGAAAACCCCATTTTGTTTCTGACTTGTAATAATTTTTTACCTGATAAATAATCAATAATCTTGTCTCTCCAACAGAAATGGGTCTTATCTTCCACTTTTACATCCTTTTGTGGCTTTCAATACAGTCTCATAATTTTCTTTGTTTAATCTCCTTGTATTTCTGGTCTGGGTTTAACTCCTGGGAAATTTGTATTACTTCCCTACAAATAGCTTGTCACCACCTCCAGGAAGCCTTCTCTGACTTGCTCACCACTCACACCTGCCTACCCCTTTGGCCCCCCCCACTCCCTGTGGAGGTTCCTGGTCTGAGCAGGCATCAATGCTGTGAGACTCCGACAGGGAAATGGGAGCCCTGCAGGGAGCACCTGGCAGGCACGTGGCCCATCACCACCACGTTGCCCCACTTAGTCCTCAGACAACACTGTAGAAGAGATGCCTACTCCCGTTGTATAGAGGAGACCACGGAGGCCCAGGAGACAGACTGCGAATCCGAGCCAGGTCCCCTCTCAATCTGGAGGGTCCCGACCTCAATCACCCCACCTGTAATTCTCAACCAGAGCTTAGTAAATCATACTCAGGACTGGGTGGGGCTAAAGATCCAGGTAGGAATAGATGGCAAGCCCTGGCAGGGGTCTCCCATCCCCCCTACCTTCCCCCCAAGTCAGGTGACTCAGCTCGGAAGGTGACACCAGGGTCACCCTGGAGTCTCTCCCTGGGGCCGAATACCTGGTAGGTGACGGTCCCCGCGTGATGCCGCACGGAGAAGATGGGAAGGGGTAGCTGGGGCTTGGAGTAGCACGGGTGGTCGCCGTGGTGATAGTGGCACTTCTGGAGGAAGGTATGGTCCGTGGCCTGAGAAAAGACGGGAGCGGCTCAGGCCCCCACGCAGGCCTGCTGCCTGCACGGGCCACCCCTGCACCCCCGGGTGCCAAACACCAGGAGAGCTCAGGCCTTGCTCCCCACACTTCTTCCTCAGCCAGAACAGTCACCCCACATTCCAGTCCTTACAAGGGGCGTGCACTTTTCCCAGCGATGTGAACCCCCAAGTGCGACTAGAGGACACCAGTGGGCACACACAGACCCCCGTGAGCTCAAGGCTGGGGCTCATGACAACTGACACGGTCCCCGACAAGAAATGACAGATTCAGCCACCGCACGGATGGTGGTCTCACGGGCCCAGGTGCTTCGACACAAGACCTGACAAGTCACCTGGCGAGAGGTCATCACCTGCAGCCCAGAAACTGGAACACTCCGCAGAGGGAAAACGGCCTTCGTGTTATAAAAACGGAAACGGATGGTTTGGGGTAAAACACCCCAGCTTAACATGGTTCGGACTCAGTGCTGTTTCAAAGAATCTCATGAGGCTGCTGAGCCCCCAAAGCCATGCTGGCTGACTCCAAAGCGACCCAAATGCCTTTTAATAATGAAATGCAGCCCCTTCAGAGTTACCAAGCGATCGTCTGCACGTCACCGTGCCACGACACGCTGTATGCACAGGACGCACACTGTGTACTCGCATCTAGTACTTACCTGTCATGTGCAACACATTTATTAATGAACGATCATAATCCCGTTGGACCATCTTTGTTTTTCAATCTCTAACTAGGACACTGGGGGGGTGGTGTCATTTTATACCTGGGGTCACAAGTGAAATTCCAGAGGCCCAAGACCCGAACAAGACCTGGGGGTGCCACAGCTACCCACAGGGCCAGGCAGGTGTGACTTCAGTTTTGAAGGTTTATTCATCTATGCACGCACGTGCTGGGGTACAGGCCAGAGATGTGGGGGTGAGAAGACTCACAGAGACAGAGTGGGGAGCAGGTGGATCTACTGAGACACACTGCTGTGGGGAGCAGTGGGGAGACAGGAGGGGTCTGCTGCGCCCTGTGGGTCACTTCCTGGCCGGAATCGAATGTGCTGCAGGGGCTGCAGGCAGCTTCCTAGTGCAGAGACTCACCCCCGAGGCCCTCCACCACCACCCCCCCCCCTCGCCCCCGGGCCACCAGGGAGGGCCAGTGACCTCAGTTTTGTCTGTGTCATTCACATCTCTCCTGCCTTGTCAAAGGAGGTGGGGACTGTGCTTTGTGGCCCCTTCTTTTATCTCCAGCACAGTTCCTGGCACACTTACTCAGTCCTTCAATCATTCATTCATTCAACCTTCAGTGAGCTCTTAACAAAAGCACTTCTCCCAGGCTCCCAGGCTGACGGAGCTCGGCTTAGCGCAGGGGAGCAGCCGTGATGCATACACACGGACTGCAGCGGACACAAGTGGTGTGAGATGGAAAGTAGGGGAGAGGCTTAAGATGGTGGGAGCTGTCTGCGCAGGGGAGGATGGGAGGCGATCAACAGTATGTAGGCCTGGATGCACCATGCCGAGGTTGCCCCCTACTGGTTGGAGGCTGAGGGCCCCTAGAAAGTCCAGCAGAAGCCCTGGCCTGTCCCCAGCACCCCTGCCCAGTCCAGTTGCCCTCCTTCTGCAGTGAGGACTTGAGGGTCTCAGGGAGCCTTGTGCTGATTATCATCCAGAGGCAAGATGTGAACCTGCCTGTCCTCTCCAGCCATGCTGAGGACCGGGATCTCTGACCCCATATCCTTTCTTATCCCCCGAGAGGCTCTGCCGGCTCCAGGGCCTCCGTGCCCTGTCCCTGCTCTCACCTGCGCCAGCCAGGTCTGCGCATCCAGGATACTCAGGAGGCTGTGGGGCTGGTCCACCAGGAGGTCCAGGCAGGGCGCCCCCGGAGGCTGGGGGATGGACACCCAGGGCAGCGACTCTCGCCGGCACTCCTCCTGGGAATGGTGTTGGGTTGTTTGCAAAGTTCACCTGCATCGTGGGGGGGCTCTTGGAAGCCAGGGCAGGGGGCACCTCCCATTTTATACATCAGCAAACCCAGGCGCTGAAGGACTGAGATAGCCTGAAGCAAGGGGCTTGGGCCTGAGCCCTTAGGCGGTGTCTGGGGAAGAGCTGACACCTGCCGCCCACAAGGGCCCGCACACCTCCTCCTGGGCCAGGAGTGTCTGTCTGCAGAAGAGCTGCAGGCGCTCGCTGGCGAGGTTGTTGCACAGCTGCTCCAGGCCATTTACCCGCAGCGCCTGGGGGCACAGGAGCAGGGAGGTGGGCATCACATGAGGCAGGGGGCACAGGGAAAATGTGGGGAGCTGGCACAAGCTCAGCGCCCTCACCGCTCCCTCAGGGGCTGCCTGCATCCTCCCCAGTGCTCCGGGAGGAGTGATGCCCCAGGGCTGAGGCTGCTGCGGTCAGGGTCAAGTCCAAAGACCCTGGTCCAACACGCAGGCCACTTCAGCCCTGCTCCATCAGAATCAGGGTTCCCCGGCAGCCCACACCCTGTCCTCTGCCCAGCCCAACTGTGAGCTTTGGGGAGCTTCTGGTCACAGCCAACCTATGGTGTTGGAGGCAACTTTCCCTACTATCAGAAAACCCTGTCCTCATAAGCAGGGCTCTGGGCTGCCACCTCCCGGAAGCCTTCCAGTATTCCTCCCCTAGGGATTACAGATTTCTTCTTGGGTTCCACAGCACTTCACTATGGGCTCAGCAAAGCCCCCACTTCATGCACCTTCGTGCAGAGGGTGATGACACATTCTAACACACACAAGCGCATGTGCACCAGCCACCAGGACACACTGGAGAGCAGGACAGAGTGAACAGTGCCCACCCAGGGACTAAGGGTGGCGCTGCCTCCTCTTGCTCTGGCCTTCTCCTTGCTCTGGGGATGCAGTCTTCTAGAGTTTATGGAAACTCAGGGTGACCTGGGTAATGTCCCCTCTTCCCTCTCCTATTGGTGCCTCCAGCAAGACTCCCTTTGCTAGCGCCTCTGCCTTCCTCTGCCCTAAGGCTCCCGGAGTCACAGGACTCTCCAGAGACCATGGCAGCTGGTGCTACACCTCAGACGCAGGGCTGTGCCCTGCTCTCAGCCGAAGGCCACTCAGCCTGCAGGAGCCCACAACTCCATGGCAGGCGGCTCCTGCTAGCCACCAGGGTGAGGTGGGCACCCTGGCCCGAGCCCACCCTGGGGACCTCAAAGCCGTAGACATCTGCGATGGTGACAGTGATGGAGGCGGTGTCAGGACTGCCCTCCCCTGGCGGTGCCAGCTGCGCGTTGGTCCTCCTCAGAAGCCAGGCGAAGAGCCTTGAGTACAGGGCCTCGGCCAGGGCATCCCTGTGGGCAGGGTGTGTGAGCCCCGGGCCCAGAGCCCCAGGCCGTGATGGCTGCCCCACCCCCAGGGCCACCTGGCGTCGATGGCGCTTTCCACGGGCAAGGATCGCGAGGCCGGGCCATAGGGCGTCTCCTGGAGGGGAGAGCACCGGAGGTACATGCACTGACCAAGCCTGTGGGTGCAGCCCGGGGGCCTCCTCCCCAGCTCCCCAGGACCCCGGGGCTCACCAAGACCTGCCTGGTGACAGCCCCCTCCAGGCGCTCGGGCGGCACCTGGAGTAGCCGTGCTGCCACGTGGATCTCAGCCCAGCTGGACACAGCGGCCACCTCCTGGGACTCCCGCTGATGGGGGGGGGACAGCACTGCCTAGGGAGCAGGGTCTGCTCTGCCCTGTGAGCTGCCCAGTGAACCCGGGCCGCGCGGGCAGGCCCTGTGTCTGGACTCAACCGTAACCCTCGTGCTAGTGTCCTGGAAAGGGCAGTGTGCACAGAGCCAGGTACACACTGGCAGCTTGGACAGTCCCCTTCTGGGGGGAGGGAGACCAGGTCTCCTCTGCCCAGGGGCTTCTGCCGGCTGCCCAGGGCCGCCACGGGACCCTCCACCTAGCCAGGGCTCTGTGGTCTCGTGTCCATTGGCGTTTGCTGGTGAAAACAAGCCCCCACCCCCATGCCGCCAGCCCTGCCCACAGGGGGGCCCACCTCTGAAGAGGAGAAGCAGATGTTGCCCAGCTGCAGGATGGCAGCCAGCACAGCCCAGATGGCGCTCAGGTCCTCAGGGCACACGCCCAGCACCTGCAGGGCTCTCACCAGCCCTGGGAAGTCCTGGGCGTCCTCCTTGCCCAGCAGCCTGCAGGCCCCGCCCTGAAGAGACCAGCACCAGGAGAGGGCAGGGCCCAGCCACACCCAAGCTCCCCTCCGGCCACTGCAGCCAGCGCAAGTGGCCGTGCGGCTACCTGGTTGAGGTAGTGGTAAGTCTCCGGCCCCTGCAGGGAAAGGCACTCCCGGTCCGCGGGGTCCAGCCCTGCCAGCAGCTCATAGAAAACATGGAAGTTCCGCTCAGCCTGGGCCTGGGGAAAGACTGGCTTAGGGGGAGCACTGGCCCGGTACGGGGCCCTCGGGGAGCAAGGATGGTATCTGGGGAAGGCAGGCCAGAGGGCCCTTTTTTTTCTGGGACCAGGACAGGTCATACCTGAAACACCACCCTCGAGGTCTCAAGCAGATAGTGTGACACAGACGCTCCCACGATAACCCCGCTGTGGGACGAGAGATTGGGTAGGGTGCTCGGGGGGCGGCAGCCAGGCCTCCAGCTCAGGAGTCCCGGATGGGCCCACAGGCAGCAGCCTCAGGCGCCTAGGAAGGCCAACTGGTCATGGGTGCCCTGTGCCTGCCTGGAGCCCAGTTACTCACTGCTGCAGGCAGAGGCGTATGACCTGGCCGAAGCGGCTGGCATTGGCGTTGAGGACTGTTTGGGCGTGGCCGAAGCTGCCCAGCAGGGACCATGCGTCCTCCAGCTGCATGGGGAAGGGGGATTCAAGACTCCCTGGGCGGCAGCATGGTGCCCACCAGGGGAATGGGGGTCCATGCCCCCACCCCGGTGCCTGAGGCCTGAGGCCGAAAGACAAACCTGAGGCCTGAAGACCACCCCGCTTTTGACCCATAAGCATAGGATGATACCACTGAGGCCCCTGGGAAATGGCGGCTGCCCACACCTGGTGTCCTCTGCTCCTTGTCTGCTCCTGCTCCAGGCTGCCGAGGAACTGAATGATCTTTTTAGCAGCTTCTGTCTTCCCTGAGCCACTGTGCCCACTGCAGAGGGAAAGGTTGACAGGGGCACATGGGTCGACCCCACTGAGCCCAGGAAGTGAGGCACACCCTAGAAGACACCCCCGGAAATGCAGAAAGCCAAACCCAGGACATGGTGACCAAACAGAAACGGTCCCAACAGGGCTACATTCAAGAGGTACAGCGGTGAGGTGACAAGCGGCCACCCAGTGGAGTGGACTCGGTCTTCCACTGCAGACCTCACCCTCCTGACCCACCCTCAGCCCAGCAGTGCCGCCACACTCACCCAAGGAGGATGCACGTGCCCTGCCCAGTGCTCTGAGCCAGCCTGTAGGCTGAGGCCGCTGCCGCAAAGATGTGCCTGCCGGGGAGATAGGAAAGTCGCCCAGAGGGCATCTGGGCCCCCCAGGTGCGGGTAGAGTGCACCCACTTGCCCCGGGCCTTGGTCAGTGGGACACGCTAGGACCTAGGAACAGGGCCCAGGGTTGCAGCAGAGGGTGGGTGGGGGCAGTCACCTACGGGGTGGTGTTGGGGGCCATCCTGGGGTGGTAGCTGGCCAGGACCTCAGGTGAGAAGAGTGGCAAAGGCCGGTGGGGGTTCAGAGTGAGCAGGAGAGGCCCCCCAAAGGTCTGGGAGAGAAAGCAGTGGCTCTCATCAGAACATGGAGGGAGCGGGGGAGCAAAGCCCCTCGGCCCAACTCCCTGACTCGGCTCTGCAGGTAGGTCCCTAGGGAGGCTACAGCACCCAGCCCAGGGAGCAGGAAGCAGCAGCTCCAGGGGTCCAGTCCCCAGAAGGGATCCCAGCCGGCCAGCCCCTCCCTGGGGCCCCTTACGTAGATTCGGCCCAGGTGAAACCTCTTCTTGAGGCACAGCAGCACCGCGCTGTCACACATTGGCCTGTGGGGACAGCACGGGTGAGCCCTGGTCAGGGGCGGCAGGGACAGGAGGGTTTGGGTGGGGGCTGCCACTGGCCGCAGCCAGGACTCCCTGGGCAGCCATGACAGGCCCTGCGGTGAAGCAAGTCCCCCCATGTCGCGTGGGTGGCCACCAGCAGGCCTAGGCAGCTGCCCAGGGGGATACTCCGTCACCCTCAGAAGGAAGACCAGGCAGGGGCTCCTGACCTCGGGCCTCGTGCCGCTTCGCTTCCACCCACGCGGCCTTTCACGGACAAACCCCCAGCCCCCGGGGACAGAGTTTCTTAAAGATGGCGGAGGGCTGGGGTGGGCCGGGCACGTGACCCGGACGGCAGGCTGGCGCCGGGCGCTCACCGCAGCCTCGCCAGGTCCTCAGTGTCCTCCAGGCCGTCGCCGAGGGTCCTGCCCTCCAGGGCCGGGGAGGGCGGCGCCTCGAGGCCCGGCGCGCCGCTCAGCTCCAGACACCTCTCCAGCGCCTCCTCGGCCTCGTCCTCCAGCTCCCACCGCTCCAAGGCGGGCCGGCGGGGGCCCGAGCCCCTCTCCCTTCGCGAGCGAGTCTCCAAGGTGAGTCGGGGCAGCAGCGTGTGGGGGCCAAGCCCGGGGTCCTCGCCTGGGTCCGAGCCCTGCGCCCAGTGCACGGGCGCCGGGGCTTCCACCGACTCGGGCTCCGCCTCATTGCTGGCGCCGCTCCCATCCGACTGGGGCTCGTCGGGGGAGGCCGGGGCGCGCAGAGGGGCGCGCAGAGGGCTGCGCCCGTCTTCTATGGCCCTACGCCCCTCAGTGTCCTCGGAAAGCCCCGCACCGGCCCCAGCGCGCCCCTCTCCCGCGGGGGCGTGTGCAGACGCTTCCTCAGAGCTCCCGTCGCTCGACGCCCTCCCCGCCCGTAGGGTCCTGGGGAATACGACCGCGAACCTGGGATCTGGGGTCCGGTCCTCGTCCTCAGAAGGGCCGTCGGGCACTGGGCTCCTCGCCGCCTGAGGGGAGCTCGGGCTGCCGCCAGGGGGAGCCCCCTGCCGACCGCGCCACGCAGCCAAGGCCGCCAGACGCAGCCGTAG